AATGACTTAATTAAGTCTGTGCTCTAGCAGTGCCTGTTAGACCCTGGCGCCTACCTTTGTTCTCCGGCTACTGAGAAATTTTTCCTACAGCTCTTCATTTCTTGAACTTCATCTACATAGCATGAAGACCTTAGGGACTGTGATTCTGTTTATTGTTAACAGCTCCTTTCTTTCTCTACTATCCTGTAGACAAACCGAAGGTTATTCTGGAAGTGACCTTACTGCGCTTGCTCGCGATGCAGCACTGGGACCTATCCGGGGTGAGAAATGACTTCAGTAGTTATTTTGTGCTAATTTTTGAATGGACGATGCACGTCATGAATGTGATTAATATGGTCTTTTTGTTTTTCAGACCTTCGTCCTGATCAAATACAGTCTGTCGATGCATCTAAGGTGGGTCATTACTATTAAATCTTAATTTTTTTTGTCAACAAAAACGAAGAGTATCTTAGAGTTACGGAAAAACGGGCAACAAAAAACGTACAACTTGTTTTGCCACATTGCTGCAAACGAGTTGAATATCAATGTTGCGCGTTATAAAACCTGTCTTGCAACAAATCAGGTTGTTTACAGGGTTGAACACGGGTGGTAAAACACGCAACATCGCTGTTCAACTCGTTTTGCAGCAATGTTGCAAAACAAGTTGCACGTTTTTGTTGCCCGTTTTTCGGTACCTTCCGGAATCCGGAAAATTTTTCCTTGTGGAATCCGGAATCCGGAATCCGGAAAAAAAAAATTGGAATCCGGAATCCTGGGTTTTGCAATCCTGAATTTAAGTAAAAAAATCAGGAATCCCACTAACGAAACCCGGACAAATCCGGAATCCACAGCGTGGAAGCCAGAATGCAAGACTGTCTTGGATTCCCTTACGCGGGGCGAGACCAGTAGAAAAGGTTTAATTTAGAAGTCTTATTTACTGATGTTATCAGTAAAATCAGCAAAAATGATGGGGCCATGCAAGGAAACATCCTTTTTGTGGATACGGTCTGTGATTCGTTCCACTTTTTTCATGAGAACGGTTGGGTCTTAGTTCGGTACGAAAATTACTCGCGTCGGGTCAGCGACCGAGACGATGTCAGACCGGTCTGAGTTCATTTTCAGGCCGGTCCCATGTAAACGCATGAAAAGAAAAGTGTGGAGACCAATACGAACTCATGCCGGTCTGTGTTCGTCCGGGTCTTAGGAATCAGTCGTCTTCTGTGACCGAGACGGCGTTTGCAGTTACTATATTAACTAGGGTATCTAAAAGATAGTAATGCTGCGGCACATTCTGTTGATACTGGCATTAGTTAGGCAGTGAGACTTAAAAGAATCAAAAATGACATTGAATGTCCTATTTACATGTTGGAAAGTGCTAGAATAATTACTATCAGTCCATAGAAAGAACTCGTGGGAACGTTGTTTAGAAAATGATCAAGTGGTTATCAACTCTGGTTTTCCCACAGTAAATTGTAGGAAATAATAGAAATTCAGATTGTTTATCCATATATTTAATATACGATGCACGATATTTTCTCTGGAAACACAATACTTTTCTTGCTGTTTGTTGCACTTCATTAAGTAACAGTTATTTAGCTATATATTTATAGAAAACAACAACACAAAAACGGAAAAAAAAAGAAAGGAGGAAAAAATAATTCGGTAGGACTCGAACCCAGCACCTTCGACTCGACGCGACTACACCTAACCACCACACCACAGAGGCTAATTACGTAATCTTTAGGAAAAGCCTTTCATTTTATTCCTTTTGCAAGAAACTTCCGCCGGCAAGATAATCGCCAGCCGCATTAACCGGGGCATTAACCGGGTTATTAACAGTGAAAAACAATGTAAACGCATATTCCATGGCAATGAATGAATGAAACAACATAATTATGCTTTTCAAAACGCCGATACACGTCCTCGTCTGCAAAGTAGGACACAAAACATATGTTTTGTTATCTCGATTTCCGCTGTTATTTTGAAGCGAATGGTCAAAATCACATCCATTTTCGGCTCATACAGTTTCTTAAGAATATCATTGCATGACATTTTCTCAATTTCACATCACCTTCTAGCAAGCTGGAATTTGTATATCCCCCGTGTTGCGGAGTCGAAGAGCAAATGCTCATCTTCTCGTCAGGTTTAACACCTGGACGAGTCAAAGGCTCTTGAATTGAAATCCAATCCCCAAGTTAACCATCGTACTCATCTGAAAGACTCCTATGTGTCTTAAAATTTGGTAAGACCTCTAACCGTGCTGTAGAAAATTTGCCACAAAGAAAACTCTAAGTCTGAGCAGCGAACGATGCACTCTCTCCGAACTTCCCCGTGTTTTTATTTGAGTTGTTCTTGGCGCAATGCACTCTGGTTAAATGCAATGCATTGTGGTAAAAAGTGTGGTTAAATGCAATGCATTGTGGTAAAAAGTGATGAATTCGAGAATTCGTCGCCCCTTATATATTTCTTTTAAATCCTGATTATGTTGCTGCTCGCTCCCTGCGGTCGCTCCGCAGCAATAAGACACTCTGTTCACTGGTAAACTGTTGGTTCTTTCAGGTGCGGAACATCCAATACAACGACTTTAGGAACTCTTTGAAAGTTGTTCGACCCAGTCTTTCGCCGCACTCTCTAAAATTCTTCGAGGAATGGAACAGTCTCTATGGTAGCAGTGCTTAAGAATGGAACTATCGACCAGAAAAAATGGTGAACATCGATTGCTATTCAAAAACATCGTCATTAAGTTATTAACTCCCACTGACGAAAGAGTTTTAGTTATCGAGCAGAGAAAGAAAGGCTTAGAACACAAATTTGAAGAGATGCCTTTCATGATCTTTCATGCTAAACGCCTTGGAGTTTAACTGTATAAGCAGTTTCTTACGTCTGCGCGTGGTGAACTTATTACGGGCCCGTCATAGTATAGTGCACGAGGGAAGCAAGGGATGAGGTACTCCGCCCCAGTTCCCTTTTTGCTCTCTCAAGCCAAAGCTGCATTTTATTTGGGTGGTGGGTGCACAAGCATAACAATTCACCTTTTAGCCTTATGCCCTCCTTCTTTGATCACAGCTTTTACCTCTCTTCCTTCCTCTGTGAACAAAATCTAAAGTGTCAATCGTAAACAGGAAAAACTCGAGTGTCGATCGTTCACCTTAATATTATGCCTACCTGCGCTGCGTGCTGCAGTAGTTCGTCTCCTATACACAGACGTTCTCTGTGTTGTCCCGCAACGCTCTTCCCCAAGAGTCATCCGTTAAAGACTACAGGTTAGTTCTTCATTCTCACCGTACGTTCTTGTACAGTTTACCCAAGTGACTTAAGTCATAGAAGGCTACTATTGTGAAAGTGACAATTAACACGTAGATTTGAAAGGTACTGTAGAAAAATTATTGAAAAGACTGGTTTTAATTATGTCATGTAATTGAGGCACACCAGATTAATGTGCCAGCAAGGAAAGAAATCAGTGTTCTCGGTTATTCGCGGACTTGACTCTATTGAACTCCTTAATTAATCTCCCGCTCAAGATTTAAAATGAAACGGGTAGTACAAAAATGAAGACATTGGGTTGGTCCTAAAAGTTATCGCACATTGTTAATAAATTAAGATTGTTTTACAAATCATCATAGTTACCTCAGTTTCAGTGGCTAGTTCTCAGCGCTGACTCAACATCTGGGGCGGAAAACTCCGCTTACAGCTCTCCTGACCCTAAAAGTCAATTGGTTTGCTACCCTTACCGTAAAACAATGGAACAATGATAAACATTGTTGCGTTATTGTTTTCTGCGACCAATGAGGAGACACCTTACGAGCAGCTGCTACAGTACTGACTAAAGAGGGAATGCGCTACCCTGGAAATCAGAGATGTTGCGCGTTGTTTCTTCTTTCTAAGGAATGGTTAAAGGTTATGTTGACGACACCGAAGCGTCCCGCCGCACGCGATAGAAAATCTCTGGTTCTCAGGGTAGACCTGCGGGCTGTTTGGAGAAGTAATTCCCTAAACTGTACTAGCATATCAGGGTTTTCAATAAGGGCGTGTCCCTTGCTGATCTCTCTAAAGCTCTTTATTTTCATACAGTTTTAATGTTTACAATTTTTAGATTCTCAAAAAGCGGTCATAATACAATGTTACTGCACATCTTCATTCCTTTTTTAGTGTAAAAGTAATTGTAATGTTTAAAGCTGCAGCTAATGTTGGAGCATACCGCCTGGTGCATTGACATTTCGTGACAACTGCAGCCGAGGAAAAACATAGCAAGGGCCAAATGGAAAAATGGTTAGGGGTTGGGTAGGTTAGCAGTGGGAGGGTCCCATTCAGACCTTTTGTTCTTCTTTTGTACCCCTTCCCTTACTCGTCCCCAGTCGTCTCTCACTATCTCTCCCTAGTGGCGAACGGGATGTGATGGGAAGGAGGAAAGCGAGGGAGAGAGAGGACTTGGAAATCCTTTGTCGAATTTTCCCTTCCCATCACCCCCTGCGCGCGCTGAACGCGTTACGCGAAGACGACTAGGGACTAGGGACGAGTCAGCTCCATCTCTACCAAGCGAGAGTGGCTGTAACTACCTTTTTGCAAAGTGGAGCCAATTTCTTGTTAACCCTTTAATTCTTGGGAGTGACCAATATCAATTTTCTCCTAACTACATCGATGTATCATAAAGAGCGAAGGATATGAGAATTACTGAAATGATCACCAAGGATCGATCTTTTATCAAATTGTTAAAGGAAATGTATCATGATCACGCAAAAGAATTTGTATGTGGGTATTTGGGCTTTGAGGGTTAATGCAGGCATGACTTAAATCCTCCATTAGACATCTGGAAATCATCCAGTGGACCATCTCTCAGTGAAATTAAATACGCACGGAAATGAACTAGTGACAAGGTCATGTCAAAGAGGAAGAGAGGATTAAAAGCCTTTTCATCGTCGCAGCACGTTTACTATTCATAATACATTCGCTGAACTGCGCCGCCGAGGTTCGTTCGAGCTGGTAATTCGCTCTTACGGTTCAAAAGGAACCTCTGAATTATCATGGAGTTCTCAAAGATTCGCCCGTGTAACATTTATGTGACTTTTTCAATTATATTTATCTGCTTTGCTGTTTGTTTCGTGGCGTTGATTCATCTAGAGTGCGAAGTTTACGCTCAGCGACAAATGCTTCAAGTTTTAACTCGACGGCAAAGAGAAGAAAATAACAAACCAAGAAACCCTGAACACGAGGATCCGATTGCTGTTGTACTCAGATCGTTGCGTAGCGACTCTGGTGAAGGTAAGCCTGAGATAATTACTTAATAACCAGGCTTGAATCAGGCCATGCCATAAGGATATTATTGCGCTTGTTTTTATCACAAAAACTCTACTTTACTGTGGTCAAGTTAAAGTTACTTCTTTTTTTTAAGTGTTAAAATTTTAAAGTACAAGTAGGAACATGACGTGTGTCCTTCTCTGATCTGAATGCTAAATATAACGCTTATCATAACTATTGAAACTGTAAGAATTCCTGCTGCTGACCGCTGCAGTGCGTTACGAAATGTAATGACATCACTGATGTCATTTTTTACGAGACTGGCACGTAACAATCCGTCCCTTTTTCGCCTTTTGCCTAATAGCTTCCGCTTCAGTTTTGACCACCATTCGCTTCAACGCGCAACACATTTCCTTGAAATGAAAGGAAACCGAAATCAAATCTTTGTCGCTATTGACCAATGGCACCCCTTTCGTGTGCCTAGTTTAGAACTTTACATCTTTTTAATTGCTTTACTGAATGCAGTGTCTTCATGAATAAATCACAAAACCAGAAAGAGAACCTCGTCTCTATTTTTTACAGCTATGAAATGCATCCGTTATCCCTTTAGGCCTTTGCACGGAAATGACAGATTTCCGCTACCCTTTCATATACGTACTTCAACTAGTGAAATCCCTACCCTTTCTGAAAAAGGTACCCCCTTCGGGCGGAACCTTCCCGTATAGGCCATTATGGGGAGTAGCCCCGGGGGGCGGGGAGGTCGCTATAGATTTTAACGTACAAAGCGCTTCGTGCCAAGTTTATTCAAACGTTGGAAACAACACTGAAACAAATATACGTTGCAATGACTGGAATCCCTTTAAGATAACAAGTTTTTAAAAATCCGTTTTTAAGAAGATTAAAAAGCTTTGAAGTTTATCCATCTGTGCCTCCCTCTAGTTTGTTTTTTAAAAGTGCTATTTTTACTTCCGTCTCTTGTGATAATGTTAATTTCGAACTGTTATATTGTTTCACTTTACAGCTAGGGTAAAAAATGCCTGATAAATTTCGTGACAGTTACTGCTGCTTTGGTAAAATGGTAAACAAAAAAAGGAAAACGCTTTCAAACTTCGAAATATGCTTTCGGTATATTTCGAGCGAATAATTAATGATCCTAATCTAAAATCGTGTCCATTACTTTTTTGCAGAACTGTTACACACTCGTCATAAACGTTCCGCAGGAAATGACAGTGAGGTCTCAAAACAAGGTAAACCTGTCAATCCTGATGACGTCAGAGGACTGATTATTGCTTTGGGTAAGCTGGCCTGTCCTGTAAAATGCCCAAGAGGTCCCAGAGGACAAAGAGGCAGTCCTGGTCACCCAGGCAAACATGGACCGCCAGGTCCTCCAGGACTACAGGGACCAAAAGGCGACAAAGGGGCTCAAGGAAATCAGGGGCCCCCTGGGCCTAAAGGCGATCAAGGCCCTCAAGGACCTAAGGGCGACCCTGGTGAATCCATCTCAGCTCCTTCCATTGTGTTACCTCCATTGTCAATGGTGGTGAACGAAACTGGTATAGCCTCGTTGCAATGCGAGGTTAAAGGAAATCCAGCGCCTCAGGTCACGTGGCTGAAAGAGAATTCCAGCCTTCCCGCGGACAAGCGGGTATTCCAGTCACGTGATGGTCTGATTATTACCGATGTGACGTCACAGGATAGTGGATTGTACACATGCGAAGCAAGAAATTTTCTTGGAACAGCATCGTCCTCGGTCACATTAACTGTGCAAGGTAATAAGGTTAAAAAAATTGTTTCCGCCTAGCAAATGTTAAATAGAGGAAGCAGCCTTAAAAGAAAAACTAGACATTCAAAATGCGCATTCTGTGAGACTTTCAAGTGAATTGAATACAGTGGAAGCTCTCTTAACAGACACTCTTATAAGTGGACGGCTCCATTTTCAGTCGTTTTCACAAAACTCCGTTTTTCTCAACTCCCATACAAACTCTGTATTTTTTGCATTCCAGTAAGCGGCCAGCAGCATCAGTTACGTTCACCTTTTTTTTGTCCCAAGGGTGTCCGCTCAAGAGAACGTCCACTGTATGTTATACCGCTTTATTCCAGAAATCGACAATTTCTTTTCCATTTTTTAGTATAGGTAATTTCCTATCTATTCTGTTTCAGCCATGATAGCAAGACCAACAACGACCATTGAGTCTTGATAACCTTACCGTGAACGTTTCTTGAGACGCTTGCCTTAATTTTCTCTTACTTTGACCGTGGAAATTCATTTTCAACTCCGGTTCAAATTGTTGTTGTTTTAAAAATCCTCATCTTTTTTATGCCTTAAACCGCCTCGGGGTGGGGCAATTCGGGAGGGAATACCCATGGGCTTCTTCCCCGGAAAAACGGTAACACATCACTGATGGTTATTTTCTCTTTTTACATAAAAGCTGCCGTTACGCCAACGTCTCTCGTGCGCAATCCCACGTCCTGCAGCAGCTTAAAAACAGGCTCTTCAGGAAATTATATAATCGATCCTGATGGCGACGGAGGCGTGACTCCCTTCAACGTTTATTGTGACATGCGTGACAAAGGAGGAATTGGCGTGACAATCATCAGTCACGATAGTGAGAATAGAACCCACGTTGGTAACATTCCAGGTTGCAGTGGAGTGGGTTGCTACAGTAAAAAGGTAAATTATACTGGAGTCAGCATCGCCCAGCTAGAAGTACTCACTCAAGTCTCACGGAAATGTGAACAGTTTATCAAGTTTGAATGCAACAATGATGTTCAGTTTATTCAGGCCAGTTATGCATGGTGGGAGTCACGTGATGGAACACGCATGTACTACTGGGGTGGCGCAACTGGTTATACCAACATGTGCGCATGCGGAGTAACAAACTCGTGCTCTAATGGTGAAAAGTGCAACTGCGATTATGGGGGCTACAGCAGTGGATGGAGAGAGGACAGCGGCATGCTGACAGATAAGTCCTCCCTTCCTGTAACACAGATCAAACTGGGAGACTTGGATAGCTCAAATGAGGAAGGATATCTGACATTAGGAAAACTGAAATGTTATGGGAAAGCGTAGCCTATTTCAGGATATGCAACCTTACTTTAGTAAAATGAAAGGGAAAAAAGACATGCGAAATGAAACATTTGTTAGTGATAGTGCAAGAACTGATCAGATAGTTCGCGACGGGGATAGCGAATTAGTGTTTTCTTTTGGCTTTCTATTTGTTTGGTTTTTAGTACCTAAAATTTTATTTCTCGGAATTCCATTTTAAGCGGTTAGATGACTCCGATTGCGCTTATTTGACACCTTCGACTTTTTTTGGTATTGTAAGTAAGCTTCTTTACTAGATAGGTAATTTTATGACCCATCCACGACAAATCACGATTAATGGCTTCCGTTAAACTGTAAAATTAAGGTCAGTTCCTCAAATCATGCCTATTGATAAAGGCGACCACCACAAATTTAGCGCCACTGAAAGCAAATTGTTTAAACTTAATCTAATCCTCTGCAAAAATTATAATTATGTTCAAAGTAAATCTCAAACTTTCTCAAGCTCATTGCAACGGTAATGCATCTGATGCATACCTATATAAGCTGGCATACTCTGTCTCAGATTGTGGTAAGCCGGCGGTATATTAATTTATTGTATAATACCCCCCTTTCACTGCTCCCAACGGTTCTGTAACCACTTTTATTGCTGTTCTTGTTGATGATGATGATGACGTTGTTCACTGCCGTATGTACACGTGTGGTGGGTATGCACGATCGTCGGTGTTAGGATATGATGTTCGCTTGGTGTGATCAAGGCACTCATAACACCACTTATCCTTTCCAGACCAGTATTCAATAGCAGCACAGCGTGGACAGAGCTGCTTACATTGCTCCAATGTGACTCCACTACCACGTCCCCGAACTTGTCTCCTGAAGCTAGATGTACACCATTGAGGTGTATAATGCAACCACTGCCCTGAATGATGTATGAAACGAAACAACCATTGCCATTAATTTGCATAAATCAAACGCTAGGATAAACTAACACAGCTCCAAAACAGTTGAATAACTTCCCTTGAATAGTAACACGATAGTATTTCAAGTACCGTCAAACAGCGCTCTAATGTTCACAACAAGGACTCTGCTTTGCAACGTACAAGTATAAATTATATATAGGAAGAGGTGTCAATATACTATTGACAGCAAAGATAACGGAAGAAAAGTAAAAAAAAGTAATAATAGTAATAACTTACATGTGGTCGAAGCCACTTGAATTACATGACGTCCTACGTTTCAGCGACTATACTGAGATCGTCACAGGTAACATGCTCCAGCTGACTTGGTTAATGAAAAAAATTTCAGATAGAAATGTTCATCTCCAAAGTTGCCTTGATAAAAGGTAGTAGAACAACTTAAAAAAGCGTTAGCGTTCAACAAACGTCATTCCAAGGTGAAAAAAAACCTTGTAAAATTTTACTAGGTATGTGTTATAATAATATTTAAAGCGTACAAGCCACTGGTCGTGTGTCATTTTCAAACCGCTTCACTTGGCTTTAAACGTGTTTTGAATTAAGTTTTAATACTTACTCAGTTTAACAGCTGGATTAACAACTGGTTTAACAACTGTAAGTTGCCTCAATGGAACGGTACGCATTTTTTGCCACGCAAGTATAGACGCGGCCTCGTTTCGACTAAAATTCCTTAGAAGCAAAGTTCCATTGCGATAAACAACGTGATTTTGAGGAAGACATTGTCCCGCTCTTTTCCAGATAATCACTATAGTACCTTGAGCTGCACAGTTCAAACTCAAAATGCTCTTCTCTTCTGTAGAAACTTTCACGGGTGGAGTCTGGATAAATTTGAGCCTATCAGTCACGCGCACGGTTATTAGTGCAAACGCAGAGTCTTTCCCAAGAAGATTCTTTGCTGAGCATGCGTAAGCCCCGCTATCTGCTTTAGCCTTAAGCTTTAGCCACATTCTGTATTGTTAGTTTCCCATCAAGCACTGTGGTCTTTCCCTTTGGTAGATGACTGAGCGCTCTCACCCACGTGACAATGGGAGTCGGTCGACCACTAGCTTTACACTACAAGGTTATGTTGTCCCCTTCTTCAACGATGACAGAACGAAGGCTTTTGGATTATTAAGGCTGCAACTGCAAGAAACCAATTAACGTTAAGAAACTGAAACTTTTTCTCCAAAATTTCGTAGTGAAAACTCCAACACGAATATGGTAAATTGATTCATGTTTCGATGATCGCTTCGTTCTGAAAGGGACCTCCGCTTATGTGCTAGACAAAATAATAATTTTGTTTTTCCCTGTGTGCGTATTATACCTAAGGTCCCTTCAGAAAGTTTATTCTGCACTGTACACAAGTGTTTTACATAACAATCGATTAACTGTGAATAAATGAATGAGTTGGTGCAAGTCCATGACTGTAAAGGACAATGTTACTTTTTCGTCAAGAAAAAATAAATTCGTGGCCAAGAAAAATAATCTGATAAAGTCCATGAGAGTAAAGTTGGTACGATTCAGTTCCCCCTTGTAAATGTAGAGAGGGAAACTGAACTTAAGTAGTTGTGGGCCTTCCGTCTGATCCATGTGATTCACCTAGTCACGTCGTAGTCTTTTTGTTTCTTACACTTCCAAAAAATCTAATTCTGTGAATGAAAAGAAAGGAATTTACCACATTCAAAAAAGTTAATATTATATGTTTACTAGGTGTTTAGATGTTCCTCTACGGAGAAGTGGAGAAGTATAGGCTGATCATTTTCATGTAGTTGTGTAGTTACGTAATATAAGACTCGAGCAAATATTTACCTTGAACAGTTAATGTGGCCGATGAAGTCACGACTCCAAGAATATTTCTTGCCTTACATGTGTACTGTCCTTCGTCTTGTGACGTCACATCTCTGATCATCTGGCCACCACGTGATTGCAAAATTCCTTTTTCAAAAGAAAGTTTGAATTCTCTTTCAGCCACGTGACCTGAGGAGTTGGATTTCCTTTAACCTCACACTGCAACGAGGCTGTGCCAGTTTCGTTTACTACCATGGACACCGGAGGTGACACAATAGAAGGGGCTGAGATGGATTCACCAGGATCGCCCTTGGGCCCTTGAGGGCCTTGATCGCCTTTAAGCCCAGGTGGTCCCTGATCTCCTTGAGCACCTTTGTTTCCTTTAGGTCCTTGCGGTCCGTGAGGTCCAGGCGGACCCTGCTTGCCTGGGGGACCAGGCCTGCCACGTTTTCCCGGCCCTAATTCCGTTTGGGCAATGCGCCTTGCAGACTAGGCTACTCAGGACCAGCTGAACTTCCCTTTTGATATCACGATTGACAATTACAGTGGTATTCGAGTTATCTTTAGTGTTGCGTCTATGCGACTGTGTGTTTCCGCAATTGAAAGGAAATAGACAATGATGGTGATAAATCAATTACAAGGAGGGGAAAACGACGCACAAAACCTTTGTTTGTTTTTGGATATGATGTAATAACAATTTCGTGAAGTGGGTAAATTACTGCTAGTATCATTTCTTAATTCACGTTTTCTTGTAGGATGACAATTAAACTAGTACAAGAGTACATTATGTCGCCTTAACTATTATGAAAGCCACCTGATCCCTTTTTTTAAATTTAATCATCGGGCATTTTAGAGTACAAATTGAAAAGCGTAAAAAGATAAATAAACTTCAATTGCCGGGCATTTTACACAATTTTTTTTACCTCTTTCCTATGTCTTTGTTTTGTGTGTTAAATAATTTTGTTGTCATCGTTTAGCTAGCGGTACAAATAAACTGTAATTCTATACGAAATCCTATCGTATCTTAACTTAAAAGTTACATGTCTATCTTAGCTATGACGCTGTGTTGCATGCAATGACTTTTATCCTCTCAGACAAAGTGGAAATTGTTTTGCATTGCACAACAGCTGAAACAGATGCTCAAAAATACTTTCTCTGAGGCTCTCGCTCCATCAGCTTCTATGGATATTCCCGACGACCTCGAAGTCGTAATGATCTTAGAAATAAATCAAAAAGGCGATCACATTGCCATTCCGATCAAGTTTTTAACGTGTGTCGTGCCAAAAAGTATGCTGCACGTTCAGAGTTTTGTTCTGTTGCTTTGTTATTTTCTCGTTTAGTTCATTGTCGTCGCCGGGTGCTCGAGCTCCCTAACAATGTTACCTCCCACAACAGTTCTCGATATGCAACGATTTCGTTGAAAAACCAACAATTTGATGGAAAACCAGGGGCACCCAACGAGAATGTAGTTCAAAACCCCTTAAACATAGCATTGTTGAACGTATTTTAGTGTTTAAACGGTAGATATACGTATATTTTTATCCCCTAAAAATGTCTCATATGTTCAGATTTCCGAGCTGAAAGTCTGGTGATCCGAAAATTATAGGGATCAAAACTTACCTTTTCGAAAATTTCAGCCAGAAATAGGGGCTCCCGAAAATTCTAGGTGGCCTTTTTAGAGTAAAACTCCGTTAAAAAAGGGCAATTATACCATTTTTAAGAAGTTCGAAAATCCTGGGAGAGGCAGGCAAACCCCTCGAGTGTTTATATCAGGCTATTCAAACACAGGAAAAAAGTTTTCTATTACTTAGATATTGCTTTTTTCAGAAAAATACTGTTACTTTGCCGTTTACAAGCAATTTATTTGTAAACGTTAAGTTTCACAGTGCATAAGGAAATGTACCGAATTTACGCGAATTAGCGCCGCGGCGCTTATTAACTTTTTTCTCCAAAAACGCGGCGCTTATTTGAGAGCGGAGCTTAATACCATAGCAATACCGCTTAGTAACGTATTTACTCGAATAAACGCCGCGGCGCTAATTAACTCCCCTACCCCCTAAATGCGGCGCTTATTTGAGGGCGGGGCTTATTCGAGTAATTACTGTAATTGGCAGCTTAAGAGTTTATTACATTTAGGGCAAATTGTTATTACATTCAGGACTTTATTACATTTAGGACAAAATTTTATTACATTTAGGACTTTATTACATTTAGGACAAAATGTTATTACATTTAGGACTTTATTACATTTAGGACCGTTTATTACATTTAGGCCTTCTACAAACGTCACTGATCGAATCGTAGCCAACTTTTACCAGCGCCGTACAAACGACTTATTGAAGAGATCAAGCAAAACTAACTACGAAAGAACGACTGGAGAACTGACAATTTGACTAACAATAGACGACTGTTTAACTGTGACAATAGACGGATCGAAACGCACCAATTACTGATTAGGAGTCTTCATGACCAATCAGATCAATAACCAGAGTATAATACCATCAACTGACGAGATACAACTCACTTTGGCTCTGAAGATGACTACCGCACAGGTTGTCGAAACGTCAGTCACTGTCAACAACAACAGTCCTATTCAGGACTACGTTCACCCGGACGATCTAACTCAACCTATTTTTGACACTTCATGTTGTTAAAATAAACGTGTGATTCAAAATGGCAAACATTACGCATACGCTACCCGTTCCAGTCTACCGGTAGCGGCCGATTTCATACCGAAACGGGTGGTCGTTTCGCGTTTATATGATACCGTTGCGAAATTTCGTACCGGAGTGAAATTTTCGCCCCGGTGCAACAACCGGGTAAACTCATGCCGGAGTGACTCGCGCCGGCATGACGTTTTGTGATGGTATCACAAAACAATTATAGAGCCATGAGAGGGAACCGGAGTGAATTCGCCCCGGCGCGAAAGTCGTCCCCGGTGTCATGTAAACACCCCCCTTATAGTCAATAAGTTTAAATTTCATGGCCATGGTCTCCTAAAAGTAGTTCTTGAGAGTTAGAGAGAAGAACGCACCTCAGGGCACTGAGGTAAAAAAGGAAAGGTAAAACAATGAGCACAAGTGAAGAAAGCCCGGGAGGTACTCCCTTGTATAAGAAGTATAGGTATATGCAGCCCCATTGGGTAGGGTTTTTGCGCCTTTTTGGTCTCAAAACGGGTATACTGTCGTATACACTTTGCCCATTTGGTCTGGAATTAGCTTTGGTTTTCGAGGGAACTACGGGAGTGTATCAATGTATTTATCGCTTCAATTCCAAATTAGCAAGAAAAAAGAGAAATACGCGAATTCAAAATGGATTTCAAGAATTGTTTTGCTTGCGCTCTAATCTAAGTAATGATAATATAATTTCAGCCTAAAGACCAGGTCTGAAAACGGGTATGGGTATTAGAGGTCTGGTCTGAAAACGGGTGTGTAAAATAACATTTTTTGTTCTGAAATAGGGTCAGGATTTGGAGAACCGGGCGGCACACCCCTACCAAGAATTCCCAGTAGTACCCCCTCCCCCCTCCCCGGAAAGAAAACAAGAGCCAGGCTAAAAAAGCTCATCTTCAGACCTCTTGTCTTTCATCTCACCATTGTTAATGCGGAATGCTTCATGTTTTGACAAACAGCTCCAAGATCCTCCAATGAAAAGCAAGAGCTCCAAGTCTGCGAAAATCTGCGAATAAGTACAATGAAGCATGTACTTACATTACCACTGCTTCTAAGCAACAGTGAAAGCAATCGGTTTATCGGTCAAAGTGTCAGGTAATGGTGCATGGTATTTTCTTCTCTCTGTTACGTTGAGTCTGTGAATTCGATAGGCGTGATGCTCAATCTTTTAGGTGAATCAAAAGCCCGAGGGGCTTTCAAAGAAGTTATTTACGAGGGGGTTTCGTCACGAGGTCTTATCTCTTCATCTTCAATATACCATTCTTGACAGAAAAAAGGACCCCTTTCATAAACGTAGTGAAAACACTGCATCCCCAACTACTGAAATGCAAAGTTTTCTTGTCCTTTTCACAGCCCAATATGCGTCTTTTAGCCCTTTTAAGTCCTTTTACAGGCCGAAATGAGGACATTTAAACTGCAAAGGACCGCAAACGAATATGCCGCAAAACGTAGGATCTATAAAAGACCTGACCAGCAAAAATATACACTGAGTAGACACACTGAATTCTGCAAAGCTGATCTTACTACGTGAAAATTAACTTTGCAAGACATCAACACGACACTGAAAAAAACAAAAAAACCAAAAACAGAGCGGGATCGTAGCCGTAGACAGCTGTTTCGCCCTTTCTTTTTAAAAAAAAAAGGTGGTAGGGGGAAGAATTTTTTCGGGGCGAGGGTGAATCCAGGGTCCGGGGGAGAAGTCCAGAGACCAGGGTCAAGTCCTGCTTTTAGAATATACCTAGTAATTCTCGAGTAGAAGTTTTATATGCCTAGTTTTTTTGAGCTGTTAAAAATAAGTAAACTTACATGGTGATTTGCAGCATTAAGTGGCGGGCCAATAAGCGATCGAGATAACTGCGGGGTTTCAAACTTATCTGATAGTTTGAGCACTTAGGTTGTAAACTCATTAAAAGTAAAATAAACTGCATCGCTTCAGGTTTTAGTAAACTGAATTCTTATATTTATTTATTCGTTATTTGTGTTTCCCTTTTATCCATCTCAAATAGCAGAACTGCTTTCTACTGGTCTAAGAAAAACCCTTGTTGTTGTGGCTGTTCTTGTTGATGACATAGGGATCTTGTTCACAGCCGTATGTACACGTGTGGTGGGTAGCCAATATCATTGGTGTTAGTATATGATCTGCGTTTCGTGTGATCCAGGCACTTAAAACATACTGAATTCCCAGACCAGTACTCAATAGCAGCACATCCGGGACAGAGCTGTTTACATTGCTCCAATGTGACTCCTCCCTGAAGGTGTCTTCGGTAGCTTCCACACCACTGAGGCGTATAATGCAACCATTGACCTGATTGAGGTATCCAAACGAAATAAACGTTAATTTGGATGCATGGAAATTTAGATCCACACAAATTTGCTAGGGACAAATATATGGTGCAAAAAACGTACAAATTAGGAGGAAATCAAAGGCAAAGTTGGTCAATACCATGTCTCCAGCCTTCCGCCCACAACTGGGTGTTAACTGAGAGCTACTAACACTTTAGGCCTTTCGAAACATACCGTGTTGCAGTCGCTGCTGGCTCAATTTGGTTTGATAACGACTCTTCCTTATCAAAAGCTTCTTTATTGTTTGGGTTGGAAGTCAATGCTTGAAATTGATATTAAGGGCGAAAGAATTTATTGATACTATAAACGAACATGCTCTCCGTGGGGAGACGGCGAGGGAAACAATGGAAATTTAATGAAGTGGGGGCACTCTCCCCCTCACTAAACCAAGCTAGCTCTATGCTCGCCGATTTTTCCCCTTTCTCTCCACACGAATTATTTCCGTCATTCTCATACGAGAGAACTCTTCTTGAATGTCAAATCGCAACATTTGCAGTGTTTTAAATGCTAATGCGTACGTACCTGATTGACACCTAGCCCCTGTGTATCCAGGCTGACAGCTACAAGCATATCCATTAACCTGGTCAGTACACGATCCTCCGTTTAAACAAGGATTGCTGGAACATTCGTTGATGTCTGTGGCAAAATGTACAATATGAGAAAAGACATCTTTTCATGGCAATATTAAAAGGTTGATTACAAGTTTTGCCAAAACTATTCCGGGGATATTACAATAAAGATATTTCTTACTTGTTTGACACTGTGCTCCTGTGTATCCAGGCTGACAGCTACAAGCATAGCCATTAACCTGGTCAGTACACGATCCTCCGTTTAAACAAGGATTGCTGGAACATTCGTTGATGTCCGTGGCAAAATGTGCAAATTATACGAGAAAGGTAAACTTTTCATGGCAATATTAAAAGATGGATTACACGTACCACTTTTGCCAAAACTACTCAGGGGTCCATTACGTTAAAAATATTTCTTACTTGTTTGACACTGTGCTCCTGCGTATCCAGGCTGACAGCTACAAGCATATCTGTTAACCTGGTCGGTACAAGATCCTCCGTTTAAACAAGGATTGCTGGAACATTCGTTGATGTCTGTAATAAAAAATATAAGACACCGGAATACTCAACTGTTAATAGAAACATTAAAAGATTGTTGTTCCCAAACAACAGTCAAAAGGTGACCGACCCCTGACGTGACCACACTTTTAGGCGTTTTAGCAATAAGTTCAACTGATAGAATACTAGTGTAGTTAAGTTTGCCTTGATGTACATATCTTACACTGAAGACGCTTAAAATACATGACGCGTTATTTAGAAGTCTGTCTCCATATGACTTACCTTTTTCTGAATAAAAAGGACTTTGAATAGTCGATTATGTCTTAGCCACCGATTTTTGTCTCGCTTTGCTGTCCCATGAGAATTTGCATTCATTGCCGAAGTGATATGAAAAGTCTTTTCGATCATATCGACTCCTCTAGTCATACAGCTATCTCTTCTGACTACAAGTTGCATTAAGTAGGGAAAATTGTTTAAGACTATTAATTTTACGTGATCCGATTAGTTATTCAGCGGCAGCGTGGCCCAGTTGTCTTGGAGTTGGTTTCTCTCGTAGAAGGTGTGGGTTTGAATCGCGATGTGGCCATTTTCGTTTTCTTTGCACACTTTTTCTGTTTAGTTTTCGTTTTTGTTGTTTATATTTTTTCCCTTTGGCTTGTTTTCCTTTATTCTCACCCATGAGCCTTTACAGCTTCGCGAGACTTTTGCGATAACTCATTTCTAGTATACGTCAGGTGGTGACTGGAGTCCTGGCTCGAAGTACTGGCTCGGTATTTTGGTATCTTAATTCCCCCGCAAGTATTTTGAATATTTATATTTGTGCCAAGAAGTAGGCTTTTCCCGATTGTGCTGGGCACTTTTTCGGCACTTTTTTTAATTTGGAGCAGTATTTTACATTTCCAGCACTCTTGAACACTTTCTTGACTTTTGAGCAGAAATTGAGCATTTTTCACTTTTTGGGCAACAATTAAGCATTTTAATTTTTTTTTTCAATTTTCCACATGTTAAATGCAATATGTTGTCTTTGAAACGATTTCAGTAAGCCGAGTAATTCTTTTATCACGAACTTGAATAATCAACCACATTGTCGCCTGACTGTTGTCTTAAAAATGCTGCTTTTAACCGTGGAAACAGTCGATTTTGGAAAAAAAAAACATTGGTGTTTCACTTCTGTTGTGGTCACCTATTAGACAATCGAGGGGTAAAGCTTTTATAAAACTAAGAATATTTATGAACATATCTGCTAGGAAATAGTTAAAAACGTACGAGCATCTTTCAAGCTTTTTTGGAAATTTCAAGCACTTTTTTCAAAAATTCGAGCACCATTTGTCATGAACACTTTTTTGCCATGTTTTGAGCTCGTTTTGGCGAATTTTCCAGCGCAGTCGGGACATGCCTACCAAGAAGCTGCTGCAGCCACTAACCATCTTTTAGCCGGGGTGAAGTTTCCTTTATCTGGAACTGAAGAGCTACCAGTTTTTAAAGCAAAATGAAAAAATCATCCACCGGGGCCATTTATTCACCTTTCCTTCTGATTGGCAGCATGGCTTCATGAAAGGGTGTTCCCGATTATCAAATCGTAAGTAAGGGGTTATAGCTGATGGCAATTGCTCAAGTGCGCTAAACTGAATCCCGTCTGGTATGTCACAGGGATCAATCTTGTGCCCCCTGTTTTCGCTATTTTAAGTTATCAGTGATCCTCCTGAGGTGGTCACTCCTAGGGAGTCGGTGGGACTTCATGCAGATCAATGTAACGCATTTAGAGTTATCTGTAATAACTTGCCCCAATAATCAGAGATGATGTATTAAGGGGATCTCGATAAACTGTTACGTGGAGTCATCTTTAAACAAGATAACCTTCGATGTAAGTACTGCAAGTTAGTGCGAATTACCAACCATTTAATATCAAATAGGACCGCAAATGAACGGTTCTGTCTTGGAGGAAATTTCAGACGAATTTCGCAGCTTTGGCCCACCTAAAACCATCATCTCTTCATGTGAATTGTCATATTAATACCATTGCGAGAAAAGCGAACAGAATTTTAGGCTTGATTATAATTATGGAGAACACGTAGAGGTTAGAACGACATTGTAACATTCAAGGTGTTGCATCGCACGATGTTGTATTGGTCACCCTACTCCAAAAACTATTAAAAAATTTGGGCTACTTAACATATGTCAGCGATGAAGAGTAGTTACATTGTCTCAATATACTTTCGAAAAAGACACCATCCTCCTTTTGTTGTATAGGGAACTGTGTAATAATTACCAAGAAGGGATGGGCCAAAGTTGGAGGGGCCACAATGCCACAAGACAACCAACGAATTATCTCTGTCATTCTCATACGAAAGAACTCTTCTTGAATGTCAAATGGCAACATTTGCATTACGGTAAGTTCATGGTAAGATTTTGGTAGCTTACTTAAAAAATCATATTTAATCAACAATTCAATCAAATCAGCTCAAACTTGGTAAGAAGTACACCCAGGCAATTGCTTACCACACGACATATTTAGAGTTACCATATTGTTTATTTTAGGTTAATAATTAACAAGTTACTGTGAGGGGCTATTTTGGGGGCTAAATCGGGGCCCCTCACTTTTTTGTCATTTCCTTTTTAAATAATCACCTAATCTTTGGTAAAATAAAGCAGTATGCAATGGACTGCAACCTTATTGAGAGTTATCACCTTTTGACCATTTTGGTTGTCATGGTAACAAATTAGATTTTGCGAACGACAAATTACTTATAAAACCAGTTGTATTTCAAAAACAGAAATTTTGCTCAATTAGGTTGCAGACAATTACATAAACAATCTTTGTACCAAATTTGGTGACAATAGCTGAAATACTCTTTGAGAAATATGAGGGGCCAACAAAAATACTGTGAAAAAAGCTATTTTCAGAAAAATGCAATTGAAAGTTAAGTTTTATCTAAATGTCACTTGTAAGAATAATGACTCCCTAAAATGGCCTTTGATGCATAACAGCACACCTACTTGAAGGTATGCTTAGGTTCTTTGGTTCTTTCTCTTTTTACCCATTCTGCACAACTGTGTTTCGTCAAAACCTCCCGCTTCATAGGTCATGCCTTCCCGGGTTACACGCAAGTCTTCTTCTCTCTGCTTAGCTTGTCTTCGTACAAGTCTATATTTTTTGTGTTTTTCTTGAGCTCTGTGCTCTGCTTGCAGAATTCTTCCACTGTCTCTTCATCTTGCTTCCTTCCAACTGTGCTTGCCAGGTGAGATTTCAGCTTTCCTCATGACATCAAACTTTTTTGTTGCACCACAACTGAAGTGCAAAGCGGCAGAGGATGCAGCCATGACAATTCGATTTCTTCCATGCCACTTATGCTTGGGACACTTGTTCCATGCCAATGCATTGACAGACTCATTTGCATTCTGGGTGTATCCAGGAAAGCATCTGATGAGGAGTGCTGGCTCGCTCAAACGATCATAGATTTTTTCAAGTGGTTCCTTGAAAACACCATCCAGGTGATGTGGCTTGTTTGGACAAGGCAATCCTTTTTTGAACTTGCACCATGAATTAACTGGACAGTATTTGTGCCTTTCTTGGTTTGAAATTTTTAGGCAGTGATACAGGCCAGCTTTTATCTCCACTTGCATCTTTTTTACTGCACTGTCTCTCTCACTCGTCGAAGCTATGTTTCTGTTTACATTGTTACGCACAGCTTTTCCATAGTTTTTTTTCAGTTTTTCAATAGCTTTCTTAGTTAGTCGCCTATCTCTACCTTTCACTGGTTTGCCATCAGACAGCTTAGTGGAGGAACTTTGAAACTCATAAAGGGCCTTTCCAAGCCTCTTTTGGACATGCCCAATACAGTCCAATTTTATCACTCTCTCACACTCTGCCTTTCCTTGAAGATGGTCTTCTTCCCATGTCTTGTGCTCTTGAGAGTTTTTCCATGCAATGAGTTCTTTGTCAGATTGTTTCATCGCTTCATACTTGTGACAAGTGTCACATGCACCATACACACTCCATATAGCATTGTATGATTTAGAGTCACCATCATAAATCATCCATTTGTATCTGACATAATTGTTCTCACTCCGCCCCCAAAGCCTCTTTGCACATTCCATTTCCATGCTAGGGCTGGATCCTTTGTAGGACCCTTCACAGATATGGTCTTGATACCAGTCATTGAAACCTGCCTCATCAAGTTTTGCCTTCATTTGAGTACATTGCTGACACACCTTGGAAATTACTTCAAAATCCAGAACCCTTCCTGTAGCTGCAGATATCACAAAGCCAATACAGTGATTAGCAGTGTAGCCACGCTTCGACCATGTACCATCAAAACTAATGGGAATATCTACAATAGTCACATTATCATCATCATCATCAAGAGCTTCCTCAAGCATGGCAAGCTTTCTGGCTTCTGCACAGTTCTTTTGTAGCTGTTCACTTGTTTCCTCTTGGAAGGCTTGACTAAGGATCTCTTCATGGCTGTACCAGGTGTCAGGTGAAATATTAAAAGGCATATTGAAGACCTCGCAAAATTTGGCAACTCCTTCTTTTCCAATGCCACTCTCAAATGCAGCCAACACCATTCTTCTGTTCACATCTTTTCCCTGAAGAGTTCTTGGATTAACATCATCTTGAGGGTGGTTACCAGTTGCAAGAAACTCGGACATACCACAACCACTGCACTTGGCATAAAGTGAGCTACCAAGCCCAAACCGGTTACTGGAACTCTCCAAGATTTGTATTTGGCCTAGTAGATGAATAAAGACAATCAACGCTTTTATTAATAAAGAGATATAGCTGTAGTAATTTTGGCCCAGCACTGATCCAGAAAAACAGCTTTTATATCTTAGTTCATAGATCTTATAATTTAACTCACATAACTCTTACCTAAATGACATGGAGTTTGTGCGTAAATTCTCTTCANTTCCTCTTGGAAGGCTTGACTAAGGATCTCTTCATGGCTGTACCAGGTGTCAGGTGAAATATTAAAAGGCATATTGAAGACCTCGCAAAATTTGGCAACTCCTTCTTTTCCAATGCCACTCTCAAATGCAGTCAACACCATTCTTCTGTTCACATCTTTTCCCTGAAGAGTCCTTGGATTAACATCATCTTGAGGGTGGTTACCAGTTGCAAGAAACTCGGACATACCGCAACCACTGCACTTGGCATAAAGTGAGCTACCTAGCCCAAACCGGTTACTGGAACTCTCCAACATTTGTACTTTGCCTAGTAGATGAATAAAGACAATCAACGCTTTTATTAATAAAGAGATATAGCTGTAGTAATTTTGGCCCAGCATTGATCCAGAAAAACAGCTTTTATATCTTAGTTCATAGATCTTATAATTTAACTCACATAACTCTTACCTAAATGGCATGGAGTTTGTGCGTAAATTCTCTTCACAAATTTAGAAGACTGTCCATTGAAACAAGTCTGTATCCTTCGGCAGGGGCCAGATCATCTTCAGCAGTTTCATTCCAGGAGCTTCCATCGTCGTTTGCCTGTATTTTCCGTTTGGAAGCAGATTCTGCGGGGGGTGGAATTTTCTCGCTGACAACATTGTCTTCACCAACAAAGGTCACTTCTACAGCTCGCGTTTCTTTCCTTCTCTTCTGCGCTACCTCCTGTTTCTGGGTTTCCCTAAAACCTTTCTTTCTTTTTGACACACTATTCCTTAAAACAGACTGTTTTCTCCCAACTTTTGGCATGATTTACTAACAAGAACAAAAGTAAGCAAGATGGACGCTCACGCTAAATCTGTGAAGACTAAGTGCTTTGTAACCGGGCTTCAAAGTATTGGAAATTCCGAGTCAGAGAATCTGGGACTGGACTCTTGGGTCTCATGATCACCTGGAATGAGTTTTTGTACAATTTTGGAAAAATAAAACGTGCCAAAGCGACTGAACTACTTGTGGTTGCCATAGCAACCAAACCCGAACAATTTACCAGCCCTTCAAAGCGGCTGATTTTTAGCGGCGCGCGAATAATTAAGCCTAAACTACATGTACAATCTAAAACTAGATGGATTCTCGTATCATTTAAGAGGAAATAAAAAAACTGGTGAAATTTTCAATTTTTCTTTAAAATCCAACCGTAATGCCCCCTTAATGCTAATGCGTACGTACCTGATTGACACCTAGCCCCTGTGTATCCAGGCTGACAGCTACAAGAATATCCATTAACCTGGTCAGTACACGATCCTCCGTTTAAACAGGGATTGCTGGAACATTCGTTGATGTCTGTGGCAAAATGTACAAGATGAGAAAAGACAACTTTTCATGGCAATATTTAAAGATTGATTACAACTTTTGCCAAAACTATTCAGGGATACTACACTAAAAAAATTTCTTACTTGTTTGACACTGTGCTCCTGTATATCCAGGCAGACAGCTACAAGCATATCCATTAACCTGGTCAGTACACGATCCTCCGTTTAAACAAGGATTGCTGGAACATTCGTTGATGTCTGTGATAAGAAATTCAAACACCGGAATACTCAACTTTTAATAGAAACATAAAAAGATTGTTACCCCAAACAATAATTGACAGGTCACCGACCACTTATGACGTGACCACACTTTTCGGTGTTCTAGCAATAAGTTCAACTGATAGAATACTAGTATAGTTGAGTTTGGGTTGATGATTTAAGAAGCGTAATATACATGACCCATTCTTTCTAAGTCTGTCTCCATATGATTTCCCTTTTTCTATATATATAAAAAGGACTATAAATAGTCGATGATGTCTCAGCCATCGTTTTTCTTCTCGTTCGCTGTTCCATGAGAGTTTGGCTTCATTGCCAGAAGTGGTATTTAAAGTCTTCATACTGGAATCCACTCCTCTAGTCATACAGCTCTCCCCTCTGACCATATTTAATTGTAGCATTCAGCAGGGAAGATGGTTTAAGACCATTAATTTTACGTGATTAGTTATTCAACGGCAGCGTGGCCCGGCCCAGTGGTCTGGGAGCTGGCTTCGCGCGTAGAAGGTGGTCAAGGTGTAGGTTTGACTCTCGATATGGCCATTTTCGTTTACTTTGCGCATTGTTTTCTGTTTAGTTTCGTTTTTTTGTTCATATTTTTTCCCTTTGGCTTGTTTCCCTTTATTCCCACTGCTGACCCTTTACAGCTTCATGAGATTTTTGCGATAACGAGTTTCTAGTATACGTCGTGACAGGAGTCCTGGCTCGAAGTCCTGGCGCAGTATTTAGGTTCCCTCTCCCGCACGTATTTTGAAAACTTGTGCCAAGAAGAAGGCATGTCCCGATTGTGCTGGGCACTTTTTCGAATCTTGAGCCCCCTGTTTTCGCTATTTTAAGTTATCAGTGGTCCTCCTGAGGTGGTCACTCCAAGGGAGTCGGTGGCACGTTATGCAGACCAATGTAAGGCATTTAGAGCAATAACTTGCCCCAATAATCAGTTGATGTTTTAAGGCCGGGGATCTCATTAAACTAAGCATGGAGTCATCTTTAAACAAGATAACCTTCGGTGTAAGTGCTGGAAGTTAGTGCGAATTACCAACCATTTAATATCAAATAGGACCGTAAATGAACGGTTCTGTCTTGGAGGAAATTGACGAATTTCGCAGCCTTGGCCCACCTTAAACCATCATCTCTTTATGTGAATTGTCATATTGATACCATTGCGAGAAAAGGGAACAGAATTTTAGGCTTGATTAGAATTAGGAAGAACACGTAGAGGTTGGAACGACATTGTAACATTCAAGGTGTTGTATTGCACCATGTTGTGTTGGTCGCCCTATACTCAACAAAAACTATTGAAAAATTTGGGCTACCTCCTTAATATATGTCAGCGATGAAGAGTACTTAAATTGTCTCAATATGCTTTCGAAAAAGACGCCATCCTTTTTTTCTTGTATAAGCAGCTATGTAATAATTACCAGGAAGGGATGGGCCAAAGTTGGAGGAGCCACAATGCGACAAGACAATCAACGAATTATCCCCGTCATTCCCATTCGAAAGAAGGCTTCTAGAATGTCAAATAGCCTGCTCGACGGGTTTGTTTCCCACACAAGCATTTACAGTGCCTTAAATGCTAATACCTACGTACCTGATTGACACCTAGTCCCTGTGTATCCAGGCTCACATAGACAAGCATATCGATTAATGTGGTCAACGCAAAATCCTCTGTTTAAACAAGGATTGCTGGAACATTCGTTGATGTCTGTGGTAAAAAGTACAACACGAGAAACTGAGATCAACTTTTCAAGGCAAAATTAAAAGATTGATTACAACTTTTGCCAAAACCATTCAGGGGATATTACAACGCTTAAAATATTTCTTACTTGTTTGACACTGTCTTCCTGTGTATCCTGGCTGACAGCTACAAGCATAGCCATTAACCTGGTCCGTACACGATCCTCCGTTTAAACAAGGATTGCTGGAACATTCGTTGATGTCTGTGATAAAAACAATAATCAACAGATGACCGACCTCTGACGTGACCACACTTTTCGGCGTTTTAGCATTTCTAAGTTCAACTGATAGAATACTATTGTAGACAAGTGTATAGTTTGAGTTTGCGTTGATGTCCATATTTTACATTGAAGTGGCTTAATATACGCGTNATTCAGGGGATATTACAACGCTTAAAATATTTCTTACTTGTTTGACACTGTCTTCCTGTGTATCCTGGCTGACAGCTACAAGCATAGCCATTAACCTGGTCCGTACACGATCCTCCGTTTAAACAAGGATTGCTGGAACATTCGTTGATGTCTGTGATAAAAACAATAATCAACAGATGACCGACCTCTGACGTGACCACACTTTTCGGCGTTTTAGCATTTCTAAGTTCAACTGATAGAATACTATTGTAGACAAGTGTATAGTTTGAGTTTGCGTTGATGTCCATATTTTACATTGAAGTGGCTTAATATACGCGTGACTCATTATTTTGGAAGTCTGTCTCAATATGATCTACCTTTTTCTATGTAAAAATAACTGTAAACAGTCGATTATGTCTCAGCCCCATCGTTTTTGTTCTCGTTTTGCTATCCCATGAGAATTTCCAGTCATTGCCGAAAGTTGTATGAAATGTTTTCTCACTGGAATCGACTCCCGTAGTCATGCATACAGCTATCTCTTCTGACCATAAGTTGCATAAAACAGGGAAATGGTTTAAGACTATTAATTTTACGTGATTAGTTACTGTATTCAGCGGCAGTGTGGCCCAGTGGTCTGGGAGCTGGCCTCTCGCGTAGAACTGGTGGTCAGGGTGTAGGTCTGGTTTTAATTTTGAGCAGACGCGTACAGAGACCATAATTTGGAGAGCATAGTATAAGGGCCAATATACCATGATGGCTAAGCCAATCAGAGCTCTAGGATTGCATTATCCAATAATTTAGATTTTAATAATTATAATTAACATATTAAATATCCGTTTTTGTTTTACTCTGGCCATAACATTGCAGATTGTTTTTATGATCTATACGATATTCCTTTTTCTATTGTCTAGATTGCATTGAAGTTGAAGTATTCTTGCTCTGTTTCTAAGCAGTGGATCGGCCAAGTTCTCATCATACTTAGTGTAATCATTTCTCCAGTTCTGCCAAAATAGCTGAGCTACCGCGTCTGCTGTTCCTTTGATTTCTGTTATTATCAGTAACCAAGGTATTGGAAATTAACGCTACGTAAATTATCACGAATTTAGTGGAAAACGGCTTTCCATTAAGGGAAATTAACGCGAGAGGGGAGGTAACATTTCAAAATAAAGGAAATCACCCCGATGTTCACAAAGAAACAGAGCTTGTTAAGAATACAGGAACAAAGTTAGAAAAGCAAAGTTCGTGCTTCTTTAATTCGCGTTAATTTTTGTAAGCGTTTATTTTCGCTCGGTTAATTAAGTGGAGTAAATTTCCGCAACCTTATAATTTCCATTATTTCGCCCCCAAATTCTCGATGCACTTCTGATCTTCTTGACACCTAAGAAAGAGGAGTATTTTATCAGGGAAGAGATCCGTCAGTAACAGTGAAACTGTGAAGAACCCTCAAAGTGGCCAGATTTCTTCGCTTGATCCCCTTCGTACGTTAAGGCCCTAAAAGTGTTAAAGTCGAGAATTTGTAGCCAAAAAGAATGGTAATTAAGGTTGCGGAAATTAGAGCTCCACCTAATTAAGGACGCGGAAATTAACCCTTGATAAAATTAACACGACTTAAATTAAGCAAATTTTTGAAATTCGCGTTAATTTCATGGGGCGTAAAATTTTAATTATAATTTCCTATAACAAGAGGGTCTCAATGGGGGTGTAGCAAACACGGTACACGGTTAAAAATTTCGCGATTTCACGGTGCACGTTTAATTTTTCTTCGGCACGGTTAACTAAGATTAGCATACACGTATTACTGTTCAAAAGTTCACAACAATAACAAATATTGTCCCCCCTTTCTAAAGAGTGGCATTGATAATCGGGGGCACTGACGAAACTGACCCCTGAAATAATGAAAAAGGAAATCTAGTCAGTCTAATCAGGTTCCAGGCACAAAAAAGGTAGTAGAAATGCAATTTTTATAAAAAAAAAACCTCTCCTGCAATGCATGTTGAAGGCCCCGAGAAAAACAGCCAAGGAAAACAACAAAAACATGAGTGTATTTTGGCAAAGTGGTGCTAAACAGTAAAAACGAATGTTAGAATTAAGACAATGAATTATTATTGTTCATGTTATTTTTTGAGCATCTGAGAGCTATTTGCTTTTTTTCATTGTTTCCATCATAGTTTAGCGGTCTCCTTCTACTAACTATGTTTGCATTCTTATGAGTTTTATGTGCACAACGAAATATGTACTTACATTTCTAACGGTGATTAAACATCAAACTTTGCCCAGGCCTTGACATGTCTTCCCGATCTTGTTATTACCGGCTTGTTTGTTACATAATCAGGTTCGTCATCGAAAAACAAACTATCGTCTGAGTCCGTTTCATATTCCTCGCCGAAATCACAATCTTCAATGTGTATTGGCCCAGACCCAAGGTTCGCATCTTATCCTTGAGGCCCAAAAAATCAGAAAGATGCTTTTCGAAAGCATTTAACGACTCCTTGTGCTCGTCGCTTAACAGAATTCTGGACTTATATCTTTCGATTGGCTTTTCTTGCCCTTGACTAAAGACACTTACAATGGCTTTAATCACACTCATCGTCCAGACTTTCGACCGGGACGATCAGGCAGACTCTAAAATCCACCAGCCATGTGCTTATCTTCAAAAATGACGTCATACACAATGTGCATTGTTATTTCGTGTTCTTTGGGATACCTGTGGTGATTTTGTCTATATATCGAATAAATGTTTTTTCTGTCTGAAAAACAAACTAAAAATACCAAATGGACCACATACATCAAATAATTGTTAAGAGCTTAGGAAAAGCTACAAACAACACGGTTATCTGGACAAAAATAATTCACGACACACGGTTAATTTTTTTCCTTTTTCACGACACACGGTTAATTTTTTGGACGTTTCACGCCACACGCTTAACCCCCATTGAGACCCTCTAACAAGGGCAATGTCTATTGATAGCGGTAAATGCCTTTCCAGCTCGGTAAACGGTAAGCCTCATGGAAAAGCTGTCCAGTTTACTAAAGGCCTCTTTACATAGGGGTGGGGACCCCAGATAGGTGAGGTAACATGTGGAGGGTCACCCCCACCTATCATGTAAACGTTGCCAAATTAAAATGAGAGATTATGTGGAAAGGCAGGTTGCCCCACCTAAGCGGATTACCTCACCTACCTGGGGTCCCCCACCTCCATGTAAACAGGCCCTAAATAACCTGTTTTTTCTTTTTGTTTTCATTTTTTGTTAACTTTGAGAAGCTTACATTAACTAGTTAATTTTTAATTGATTAAATACTCACACACGTCAACAACAGACATCGCCTCAATAGAACGCTGGGCGTTTCCTGCAACGCATTTATAGGAGCCAGCATCATTCAGCTTCAAATTCCGAAGCAGCAATGTGCCATTAAAATATAGAACGTGGTTTTGAGGTAGACTTTGCCCCACTCTTTTCCAAATAGTTCCTGTTGAACCTTGAGCTTTACAGTTTAACATCAAATCGCTTGATGTTTCCGCTTTAACTTTCAGGGCAGGGGTAATGGTGAATTTAAGCTCGTCAGTCACCATTAGTATGGCGACAGCTGATTCCTGACGCAGGAGATTCTTTGCTAAGCATTCGTAAGTCCCGCTATCTGATTTAGCCACACCCTCTATGGTCAGATTACCATCAACCACTCTTGTCCTCCCTTTGGGCAAGTGACTCAATGCTCTTCGCCACGTGATTCTGGGAGTTGGGCGACCACTAGCTTTACACTGTAAAATCGCGTTTTGCCCTTCTTCAACGATGATAGAGGAGGGTTTATGAGTGATCACGGCACCAACTACAAAAGAATACAACAGGTATGGTCAGTTTATCATACCCAACATCCGAGTAAGTAACTGAAGTCAAGCTTTGCAGTTCATTTTCTATACTGATAAAATGCCCCTAACGTTCGATTCGTAATTGAAAATGCAGTGAGAAAACGCGGTGGTAATGACAACGAAGTTGAAGAATAAATAGTAAATAACTGTAACTCTACAAGTACAGCTGTCACTGGAACATTCATATATCTCTGATGCAACAGTCGTAACGTCGCTCTGGATAGACCGGTCTTAATTTCAAGTGTTGTGAGTAAAAATTGTTGGTCCCCTCACCTGGATCCTCACCACGTCTCTATGCTATCAAATCAAAGTCGCTTTCCCAGAAATGGCCTCCATAAAATTGTAACCTTATCCAATTAAAGTAGCCCCAATCGTCCGCCCCAAATATTGACAGGTAGTGCCTTAATCGAATCGTAGAGATCTTGGAGAGGGCATTAGAGTTTGAGTGATCGAGGTGCTACAACATTACAGTAAATGAACCAAGCTGCTTGTTACAAAAAATTGTCATGTCGAACATGTACCCAAACAAGTTTGTTACAACAAAAAAGGGGGAGATGACAAGTTTCTTTTATACTGAACATGCATATTGATTTGAACAAGTGGTGCTCTCACAGAAACACAGAATTAAACATGAAAAAAGCCTTCTTGCTGTGTTATGTCGATAGCACTGGTCCTGAAGAAGACTAGTGGTACTAGTCGAAACATCGGCTTGATTAAAAGTGCCATTTTGCCTCAGTACCAGCTTTGTAATTGAAATATATGGTTCATTCACACGTTATAGTGATGTCTGGTTCAAGCATCTCAACAAAATAGACCAAGAAGTACCGGTTTATATTTTTTGCGCTGTTTAGTTCCCTACATTAAAATAATTTATTTATTTTCACATTATAAATGTTTCGCACAGTGCCTCTGCAAGTGTGGCGATGCATCAAATTATCAAATTTAACTTAGCATAAGCATGCGACAACCTATCCTTGCTTGTTCGCAGTCGTTAAAAATTGACGTTGTGAAAAATGGAAAGTGGTGAGCTTTTTTTCACCTTGAACAGTTAACGCTGCTGATGATGTTATCACGCCAAGTAAATTTCTTGCTTTACAAGTGTAAATACCACTATCTTGTGACGTCACATCTCTAATAGTTAATCCGCCACGTGATTGGAAGATTCGCTTGTCGGCGAGAAGACTTGAATTGTGTTTTAGCCACGTGACCTGAGGTGTTGGATTTCCCTTAACCTCGCACTGCAATGAGGCTATACCAGTTTCATTTACCACCATGGAAAACGGAGGTGAGACAATAGAGGGAGCTGAGATAGATTCACCAGGATCGCCTTTGGGTCCTTGAAGGCCCTGATCGCCTTGAGGCCCAGGTGGTCCCTGATCGCCTTGAGCACCTTTGCTTCCTTTAGGTCCTTGAGGTCCTTGAGGTCCAGGTGGACCCTGCTTGCCCGGGGGACCAGGCCTGCCACGTCTCCCCCTAATACCTTTAGGACAATGCACCGTGCAGGCCAGGCTACTTAGGGCCCGGTGGACTTCCCTTTCGATGTCATCACGACTGACAGTCGCACTTGAGTTCTTGTTGACACTTTTAGAGTTGCGTTTGTGGCGACTGTGAACTTCTGCAACTACATGGAAAGAAAAGAAGAAAAACAGTGATGGTGATACTTTGTTAATAATAAATAGGGAAGATAATGGATCATTTGCACCATGGCGTCATTATACACTGTACTACTACGTCTAGAATCATTTTCGCTTTTCTTTTCATATCTAAATGTGGTAATCCCAGGGAGGTTTAAATAACAAGAAAACAATAACCTGCGGGACCAACAATTTGCAATTCTTTGCCAGTTACACTAACCAGCTCCTCTTCCATATTTGTTTTTAAAAAATCTGCAAAATTATCTCATTGATACTCGGGGTCTGTCGCTTAAGTTTTATGTTTTCTCCACAAGCTGCGATCCCCTTTGTAATATAGCTTAATATAGCTTCCTTGTCACAACAACTTATATTTTAATTAACACCTCTTGTAACGTTTTATTTTTATGTAATGTGAGTGACTAAAAAAACAAATAAATGAAATGAAATGAAATGAAAATGAAATGAAATGGATTCTCGGCTTAGTAGTAAAATTCTGTTATCGTGCAAATGGCCTAATACCACCCAAAGAAACCTTCACTTTCTTGTAGGTTTTTAAGAAATCATTTTCGCCTTTTATTGACGTCATTGATAAGGGACACCCAATGGCCAAATAGGCCAGAAGTGTCTCAAATGGATTTCTCTATGCTTTAGAAGCCTGTTTGGTTAATTTAGAGCTGCCCTAAAAACTGTTTATCTGTTCTGATATGTTAGGGGAACTTTGATCGTCTGCGTTCATTTTCCTGGGCCTATTGTATTTTTATATTAAATTCTTTGAGATTTTTTTTTTCATCGTCATCATCATGACGTCTCGTCGCGCCAAAGTTTGGAATGTTTCGGTTGCGTAACTAGACGTGATCGTAAAATGACTATATATCACGGCTGTAACCTGATGCAGCTAACAATTACCTTATCCTTTCAGACAGCGGAGGAAGTCTTTTCAGTTGAACAATAGCTGAACTGGTTACAAAAACAGACTCAAAACAAAGATTCCCTTCAATTTCACACTATAAAAAAAACAACCTTTTTTTCAGTATCAGGAAACACTGTTAGATTTTTCAAACGCAGTGCTGCGGATTGCTACGTTGTTGCTGCTATTGTTGGATAATGACACCATACATGTACATACCTCTGTAAAATTTGCGATATTGACGAGATATATCTTAGCTAGCTACAGTCTTAGACAAAAAATAGTTGGGACACTTACACCCAACGCTGTTTTTTTGCTTCCGTCCCTTCTCCTCGTCCTCCAAATGTTTTTTATCGCACTTGTTAACTCACCAAATCTTGCACACCAACATTGGGAGGGCAATAGAAATAGCTACCGACGAAAGAATTTATGCGAAGCGTACACACTACTCGACGCCATGTCTCAGTCAGTGAATAACTTATAAAGTAAGAAACACGCAACTTACCTTCAACAGAGTCACTGTGAAAGGATGAGGTGATCGGCTCATGAACAGTTTTGCGTGGCTCAAAATTATCCGCTCTTTGTTGACTTAAGACTTGAAGCATTTGTCGATGAGCATGAAGTTCGACCTCGACGTGAACCAGTGCTACAAAGCAGACAACAAGGGAGAGAAATATTGAGGAAAACGCCAACGTTTTGGAGCCCGGGCGCATCTTCGACGACTCCATAACTCGGTTATTAGTTGCGAATGATTGCCTTTAAATAAGTGGGAGATTTAAACCCTGCTAAACGAATAACCAAGCTCGTGTAATTGTGGCTGCTGGCGGAAAAATAGCTTTGACCTGTAAGACGTGACGTGTATTAAAGCCTGACCTTGTTTCCGCCTTTCAGTTTAGCTATTTCCCAGCCCTCTGAGGAAATTTTCCAGAAGCATCTATTTTGAAATGCCAGTTATTTCAATCTACGCGGCGAGTTCTATTACGCAACCGCAACTGATGAAGCATGCAAAAATGGAACTCAGTTTGGTGAAGAGCAAGGCATTCTTCATTTTACAACTTTTAACTGTTTATTATTTAGCTGCATATTATATTTTTTAATAACCAAAAAATTGCTAAGGTATCCAAAATTTTACAGAAATCACTTGCCAGTCCAAAACAATTAAGCTATCGTAATGTATGATATCCTGGGTAAGTGAAGAGATCCCTGACCAATAACTCGCACTCGGGCTGTTCGTTGCGAGATACTGACGCATTATCTACGATCCACAACTAACCAAAAAATGAAACGTCTTGTTAGAAAGGGAAGTTTTCTTTGCAACAGTTAGCTGCATATGATTTAACCGCATAACCCTATCACTTGTCTGAAAAACAAAAATTGCTCTTGAGCCCAAAAATATTTACAGATATTTCATACCTGCCCGTAACGCTTCAGCTTTCCTAATGTATGATATCCCTCCTCATTATGTAGGGCTATGTAGGGCTATTTAGGGCGGCTGTGTAGGGCTGTGTATGGCTATGTAGGGCTATGTAGGACTGTGTAGGGCTATGTAGAGCTATGTAGAGCAATGTATACTATATATTAACTAAAGGTGAACCACTATATGATGCTTACACCACGTACCTACCACCCGATTCAACTGCTGACTGCAGGCTCATCTAACCGCTGACCTGGTAATTACAGTGTTACTGCAGGCAAAAAACGCTTGCAACGGGCCGATACCGTACTTACATAGCTGAAAACGGTTAACTTAAGAAAGGCGACTCCTTAATCGGTGCTCTCGCAGAAAGCCCTTTGCTGCTCTACTTTTCCACAGAATTTCTCTCTCCAGTCACAACCGAAGCTATCACCTATTCGCTTGATGTATTTCAAGTAGTTTAAGGCCTGGGACTAAGGGGTTAACCAGTAGAAAATGAATTATTGGCTATAACTTTGGCATAGATCATGGCACTGGATCAAAGTTTGGCACACATAAAGAACTCATCGTCCTTAACATTTTAAAGTATAACTAATATATAGATTTAGCCACGGCTAAAAGCGAAGCTCTGGTCAATAATACTTGTAAACAAAAAAAATTAAATCTAGTAAAATGCTAAACGGGGAGGGCAATGAAAATGGCATCAAGATCAATAGATCTAATTAGTAAAAAAAACAAATTGCACGTGCAGCACACTTTTTTTCTAATTAGCAAAAAAACAAATTTGCACGTGCAGCACGCTTTTTTGTCTTTCAGTTGCCGTTGTTTTGCACAACTACAGCGCTGTTTTGTAGGACTAAAACGTCAAACTTCCTAGTTACACATTATTTTTATGGAGGAATTGTCGTATGTGCTTACTCAACATTTTGTCTCCTGTGTTCATGTTCGCTTTTATTTTTCACTGCCGCTTATTTACACTTTGCTGGCCGCCAGCATTTCTCATTGCCACACATCCGCTTTGAATTTTCATGTTTTTCTTCCTACAAAATTCGTCTCTTTTGTTTTTAATCACTCGCTCTAGCTCTTTCTCTGGAATAACGGCGAAAAAAACACGACTTTGTTGTCGTCTTTTTCTTCCTAAAAGTCGGGGCGGCCATGCAAATTCTTTCCAAATAAAACCTTGAGTTGCATTTGGGTTGCCATACCTGTTGATTGAATTATTTTACATTGGTATGCCTGTGGTGCGGACGGACGGTCNAACATCATTTTAAATGCCCAAATTTAATCTTGAATTATTTTTAAAAACTTTAAATTTAAACTTCGCGTACATTCATTCCAAACGTAGAAAGTTAGGTCTGTTTATTCTCTTTCAGAAATGCTAATTTGTTTATCCAAGCAAAGTAAATTCGCCACCAATTCGCCAATTTCCTTCATTTTCAATTTGACACGTCACGTGACCATAGTTAAACGTTAAGGCACACAAAAACCTCAAGATTTACTTTTGGGGAAAAATTCGTTTTGTTGTAGGTCTCCGAGCGAGAGATATTGCCAATCATTCATATGTTCTGAACACACCTTTGACCCAGGCCTTAAACCCTTTGAGTTTGCCTTTAATTTCACAAGGTTTCATGGAATAAAACTGAGGAATAGATCCCCTAAGGCTCAAATAAGAGCATAATAAATAAGTTCCTCGATATCGGCACCAGAAGCCATTATTGATGACGCCATCGAGTATCTAGAAATGGTAATGACACGGACTGACAAAAGATAAGAAATTTAAAACATGATTCGTGGAATTATATATATAAACAAAAAGTGTGAAAAGTGCATGTACATTTAAGCCTGAAAATGGAAAAATGACCGTTATTATTGCAAAAAAGTATAAGAGAGTACAATAAAACTGCAATAATAGTGTTGCTTTTTCAAGGGACCAAGAGCTCCGAGTGCGCTTTGAATGTAGAAAGGGGTACCTGAGGACGAGAAGGGCTCAATGTGTAATTTCCCTCCTGCTTTCTGTAGCCGGTTTTACTTCAACCTCTCATTATTGAAAAAGAAAATCGAAAACAAAGATGAAGCTAAACCTGTACAGTCATTTACTGAAAGAGAAAAGAAAAAAAATTAATAGCATTATGGGTCATGACGTTAAGCCTTAAACCTTCTCTCCTTTGTTCTTCCTTTATCAGTGAACTCGAAGGGGAACTAAAAGAACCCACACCACTGTTCCAGAAGAGAAGGGTACATTTTTCTTGTTGTGGGGCGTAGCTGTAACTCTGTCATCCGGCTTTACTTATCACATATAACCATACAGTGAGCTTATAAATGGACCGACAGTGGCAGCTAGTGGCGCCATTGCATACTGAAGTCCGAACTTTCTGTTTATATATAAATGTAAAAAGGACATGTACTGTACATGTTGTCCTGTCATCAAATTATTTAGGTCGCATCCGGTAAAATTAGCAAATTACCCACCCTTGGGTGAACTTTGATATCGAATTCCTCTCTACACGACCAGAAGAAATCCCCGACAACCGCACTTAGCTGGAAGAGGCGGGATGGGCATGCTTAGAGTTAACTGAGTTATACACTGCATATATATATGTACTAATGCGCAAACTCTGCTTGTGTACTGGATTATCAATTTCACACAGTTTTCATGTACTATTATTTAGCTATTACTTATCTTAACACTTGTACACATGCAAATTAGTAATTTTCTATGTATATTTGGCAGATCAGATATCTCATGCCTGTCCATAACACTTGAGCTTTCCTAATGTATGATATCCTTCTTCACTTGAGCCATCAAAGTCCGCCAGTCTGATCTGAGACACAGGAAGAGCAGACTTATCTGTCAGTAGACCGCTGTCCTCTCTCCAGCCGCTGCCACCGTTGTAACAATTACACTTTTTTCCACTACTAAAGCAAGAGTTTGTTACTCCGCATGCGCACGTGTTAAATGATCCACCAGCGCCTCCCCAGTAGTTCATTTTCCTTCCATCACGTGACACCCACCAGGCAACTGAGTCGGGCACAAAGGCAACATCATTGTTGCACTCAAATTTAATAAACTGTTCACAGTTCTGTGAGACTCGAGTTAGTGCCGCCAATTGAGTTGTGCTAACTCCAGTGTAAGATACATCTTTTCTGTAACATCCAGGAGTCACACCACACCCAGGGATATTGGCAACATGAGTTCTACTCTCGCTGTCGTGACTGACGACTGTCACACCAACTCCTCCCTTGTCACTCATGTCACAATACACACTGAACGGAGTCACGCCTCCTTTGCCATCAGGGTCAATAATATAATTACCTGAAGAGCTTCCACTGTGGCCTGACTTTATTCTGCTACAGGACATGGGTTTGAGCACTTCAACAGTAGACGATGCCATTATTGTCCGTTGATAATTTTTCGCTACACATATGTAGGATCCAGCGTCATTTGTGGTCACCTTCTTGAGAAATAAAGTTCCGTTTGGGAAAATAACATGAGTACGAGAAAGATATTTGTTGGTTCTCTTCCAAGTTATTTCTAGGGCTCCCTGGGCTTTGCAATTTAGCATCAGGTTGCTGAACTCAGATGCGGTAGCCTTTAAAGGAGGTTTTAGGGTAAATTTGAGCCTGTCAATGACTGTTACCTGGGCGAGAGCGGAGTCCTTTCCAAGGAGATTTTTCACTGAACAAACGTAAGTCCCCCTATCTTCTTTCGTTACACGTAGTATAGTCATGTTCCCATCGATCACTGTTGTTTTACCTCTTGGCAAGTGACCTAATGCTTTTTGCCACGTCATCGTTGGCACCGGCAGACCGCTAGCTTTGCACACTAGGTTCACGTTTTCTCCTTCTTCAACGATAACAGAAGAGGGCTTTTTTGTGATCAAGGCAGCAACTGCAATTGGGAAACACGATAGAAAGAACGTTAACCTATAACTTTAAGTACCCACGAGGAATCTTCCTTAAGTTACCTTACAATAAGTGTAGTCTACTTTCATATTAGTGAATTAACAACTTTTTCCGTGCCATTTAATGCAGCCCGCGCACCTTCCAAGCATCCCCTGAGTCGGAGGCTGCGGTTATCTTTTGAGACTGGTTTTTACTAAGGAAAAGTCGGAGTTAGAGTGGTAACCAATTGCGAAAAGTGATGTTTAAGAAGAAACGCAGTTCTCAGATTCCTCTAGCCTAAGAATACAGACGTCCGGCTAAATTGACGTTGTGAAAAATGGAAAGTGGTGAGCTTTTTTTCACCTTGAACAGTTAACGCTGCTGATGATGTTATCACGCCAAGTAAATTTCTTGCTTTACAAGTGTAAATACCACTATCTTGTGACGTCACCTCTTTAATAGTTAATCCGCCACGTGATTGGAAGATTCGCTTGTCGGCGAGAAGACTTGAATTGTGTTTTAGCCACGTGACCTGAGGTGTTGGATTTCCCTTAACCTCGCACTGCAATGAGGCTATACCAGTTTCATTTACTACCATGGAAAACGGAGGTGAGACAATAGAGGGAGCTGAGATAGATTCACCAGGATCGCCTTTGGGTCCTTGAAGGCCCTGATCGCCTTGAGGCCCAGGTGGTCCCTGATCGCCTTGAGCACCTTTGCTTCCTTTAGGTCCTTGAGGTCCTTGAGGTCCAGGTGGACCCTGCTTGCCCGGGGGACCAGGCCTGCCACGTTTCCCCCTAATACCTTTAGGACAATGCACCGTGCAGGCCAGGCTACTTAGGGCCCGGTGGACTTCCCTTTCGATGTCATCACGACTGACAGTCGCACTTGAGTTCTTGTTGACACTTTTAGAGTTGCGTTTGTGGCGACTGTGAACTTCTGCAACTACATGGAAAGAAAAGAAGAAAAACAGTGATGGTGATACTTTGTTAATAATAAATAGGGAAGATAATGGATCATTTGCACCATGGCGTCATTATACACTGTACTACTACGTCTAGAATCATTTTCGCTTTTCTTTTCATATCTAAATGTGGTAATCCCAGGGAGGTTTAAATAACAAGAAAACAATAACCTGCGGGACCAACAATTTGCAATTCTTTGCCAGTTACACTAACCAGCTCCTCTTCCATATTTGTTTTTAAAAAATCTGCAAAATTATCTCATTGATACTCGGGGTCTGTCGCTTAAGTTTTATGTTTTCTCCACAAGCTGCGATCCCCTTTGTAATATAGCTTAATATAGCTTCCTTGTCACAACAACTTATATTTTAATTAACACCTCTTGTAACGTTTTATTTTTATGTAATGTGAGTGACTAAAAAAACAAATAAATGAAATGAAATGAAATGAAAATGAAATGAAATGGATTCTCGGCTTAGTAGTAAAATTCTGTTATCGTGCAAATGGCCTAATACCACCCAAAGAAACCTTCACTTTCTTGTAGGTTTTTAAGAAATCATTTTCGCCTTTTATTGACGTCATTGATAAGGGACACCCAATGGCCAAATAGGCCAGAAGTGTCTCAAATGGATTTCTCTATGCTTTAGAAGCCTGTTTGGTTAATTTAGAGCTGCCCTAAAAACTGTTTATCTGTTCTGATATGTTAGGGGAACTTTGATCGTCTGCGTTCATTTTCCTGGGCCTATTGTATTTTTATATTAAATTCTTTGAGATTTTTTTTTTCATCGTCATCATCATGACGTCTCGTCGCGCCAAAGTTTGGAATGTTTCGGTTGCGTAACTAGACGTGATCGTAAAATGACTATATATCACGGCTGTAACCTGATGCAGCTAACAATTACCTTATCCTTTCAGACAGCGGAGGAAGTCTTTTCAGTTGAACAATAGCTGAACTGGTTACAAAAACAGACTCAAAACAAAGATTCCCTTCAATTTCACACTATAAAAAAAACAACCTTTTTTTCAGTATCAGGAAACACTGTTAGATTTTTCAAACGCAGTGCTGCGGATTGCTACGTTGTTGCTGCTATTGTTGGATAATGACACCATACATGTACATACCTCTGTAAAATTTGCGATATTGACGAGATATATCTTAGCTAGCTACAGTCTTAGACAAAAAATAGTTGGGACACTTACACCCAACGCTGTTTTTTTGCTTCCGTCCCTTCTCCTCGTCCTCCAAATGTTTTTTATCGCACTTGTTAACTCACCAAATCTTGCACACCAACATTGGGAGGGCAATAGAAATAGCTACCGACGAAAGAATTTATGCGAAGCGTACACACTACTCGACGCCATGTCTCAGTCAGTGAATAACTTATAAAGTAAGAAACACGCAACTTACCTTCAACAGAGTCACTGTGAAAGGATGAGGTGATCGGCTCATGAACAGTTTTGCGTGGCTCAAAATTATCCGCTCTTTGTTGACTTAAGACTTGAAGCATTTGTCGATGAGCATGAAGTTCGACCTCGACGTGAACCAGTGCTACAAAGCAGACAACAAGGGAGAGAAATATTGAGGAAAACGCCAACGTTTTGGAGCCCGGGCGCATCTTCGACGACTCCATAACTCGGTTATTAGTTGCGAATGATTGCCTTTAAATAAGTGGGAGATTTAAACCCTGCTAAACGAATAACCAAGCTCGTGTAATTGTGGCTGCTGGCGGAAAAATAGCTTTGACCTGTAAGACGTGACGTGTATTAAAGCCTGACCTTGTTTCCGCCTTTCAGTTTAGCTATTTCCCAGCCCTCTGAGGAAATTTTCCAGAAGCATCTATTTTGAAATGCCAGTTATTTCAATCTACGCGGCGAGTTCTATTACGCAACCGCAACTGATGAAGCATGCAAAAATGGAACTCAGTTTGGTGAAGAGCAAGGCATTCTTCATTTTACAACTTTTAACTGTTTATTATTTAGCTGCATATTATATTTTTTAATAACCAAAAAATTGCTAAGGTATCCAAAATTTTACAGAAATCACTTGCCAGTCCAAAACAATTAAGCTATCGTAATGTATGATATCCTGGGTAAGTGAAGAGATCCCTGACCAATAACTCGCACTCGGGCTGTTCGTTGCGAGATACTGACGCATTATCTACGATCCACAACTAACCAAAAAATGAAACGTCTTGTTAGAAAGGGAAGTTTTCTTTGCAACAGTTAGCTGCATATGATTTAACCGCATAACCCTATCACTTGTCTGAAAAACAAAAATTGCTCTTGAGCCCAAAAATATTTACAGATATTTCATACCTGCCCGTAACGCTTCAGCTTTCCTAATGTATGATATCCCTCCTCATTATGTAGGGCTATGTAGGGCTATTTAGGACGGCTGTGTAGGGCTGTGTATGGCTGTGTAGGGTTATGTAGGACTGTGTAGGGCTATGTAGAGCTATGTAGAGCAATGTATACTATATATTAACTAAAGGTGAACCACTATATGATGCTTACACCACGTACCTACCACCCGATTCAACTGCTGACTGCAGGCTCATCTAACCGCTGACCTGGTAATTACAGTGTTACTGCAGGCAAAAAACGCTTGCAACGGGCCGATACCGTACTTACATAGCTGAAAACGGTTAACTTAAGAAAGGCGACTCCTTAATCGGTGCTCTCGCAGAAAGCCCTTTGCTGCTCTACTTTTCCACAGAATTTCTCTCTCCAGTCACAACCGAAGCTATCACCTATTCGCTTGATGTATTTCAAGTAGTTTAAGGCCTGGGACTAAGGGGTTAACCTGTAGAAAATGAATTATTGGCTATAACTTTGGCATAGATCATGGCACTGGATCAAAGTTTGGCACACATAAAGAACTCATCGTCCTTAACATTTTAAAGTATAACTATTATGTTTATAAGTCACGTGATATGTCACGTGACCATTTAGCTAAAAATCGTAAATTATTACCCAATTGGTGGCCCGTTTAAGACAAGAAATCGAGAAATAACATTTTTCTGATTCACATTGAATATATTTTTCTAACACTTGACGTTTGGAATAACCATCCATTGCCCTTCAATAAAAAATTATGAGGGAAAACATCATTTTAAATGCCCAAATTTAATCTTGAATTATTTTTAAAAACTTTAAATTTAAACTTCGCGTACATTCATTCCAAACGTAGAAAGTTAGGTCTGTTTATTCTCTTTCAGAAATGCTAATTTGTTTATCCAAGCAAAGTAAATTCGCCACCAATTCGCCAATTTCCTTCATTTTCAATTTGACACGTCACGTGACCATAGTTAAACGTTAAGGCACACAAAAACCTCAAGATTTACTTTTGGGGAAAAATTCGTTTTGTTGTAGGTCTCCGAGCGAGAGATATTGCCAATCATTCATATGTTCTGAACACACCTTTGACCCAGGCCTTAAACCCTTTGAGTTTGCCTTTAATTTCACAAGGTTTCATGGAATAAAACTGAGGAATAGATCCCCTAAGGCTCAAATAAGAGCATAATAAATAAGTTCCTCGATATCGGCACCAGAAGCCATTATTGATGACGCCATCGAGTATCTAGAAATGGTAATGACACGGACTGACAAAAGATAAGAAATTTAAAACATGATTCGTGGAATTATATATATAAACAAAAAGTGTGAAAAGTGCATGTACATTTAAGCCTGAAAATGGAAAAATGACCGTTATTATTGCAAAAAAGTATAAGAGAGTACAATAAAACTGCAATAATAGTGTTGCTTTTTCAAGGGACCAAGAGCTCCGAGTGCGCTTTGAATGTAGAAAGGGGTACCTGAGGACGAGAAGGGCTCAATGTGTAATTTCCCTCCTGCTTTCTGTAGCCGGTTTTACTTCAACCTCTCATTATTGAAAAAGAAAATCGAAAACAAAGATGAAGCTAAACCTGTACAGTCATTTACTGAAAGAGAAAAGAAAAAAAATTAATAGCATTATGGGTCATGACGTTAAGCCTTAAACCTTCTCTCCTTTGTTCTTCCTTTATCAGTGAACTCGAAGGGGAACTAAAAGAACCCACACCACTGTTCCAGAAGAGAAGGGTACATTTTTCTTGTTGTGGGGCGTAGCTGTAACTCTGTCATCCGGCTTTACTTATCACATATAACCATACAGTGAGCTTATAAATGGACCGACAGTGGCAGCTAGTGGCGCCATTGCATACTGAAGTCCGAACTTTCTGTTTATATATAAATGTAAAAAGGACATGTACTGTACATGTTGTCCTGTCATCAAATTATTTAGGTCGCATCCGGTAAAATTAGCAAATTACCCACCCTTGGGTGAACTTTGATATCGAATTCCTCTCTACACGACCAGAAGAAATCCCCGACAACCGCACTTAGCTGGAAGAGGCGGGATGGGCATGCTTAGAGTTAACTGAGTTATACACTGCATATATATATGTACTAATGCGCAAACTCTGCTTGTGTACTGGATTATCAATTTCACACAGTTTTCATGTACTATTATTTAGCTATTACTTATCTTAACACTTGTACACATGCAAATTAGTAATTTTCTATGTATATTTGGCAGATCAGATATCTCATGCCTGTCCATAACACTTGAGCTTTCCTAATGTATGATATCCTTCTTCACTTGAGCCATCAAAGTCCGCCAGTCTGATCTGAGACACAGGAAGAGCAGACTTATCTGTCAGTAGACCGCTGTCCTCTCTCCAGCCGCTGCCACCGTTGTAACAATTACACTTTTTTCCACTACTAAAGCAAGAGTTTGTTACTCCGCATGCGCACGTGTTAAATGATCCACCAGCGCCTCCCCAGTAGTTCATTTTCCTTCCATCACGTGACACCCACCAGGCAACTGAGTCGGGCACAAAGGCAACATCATTGTTGCACTCAAATTTAATAAACTGTTCACAGTTCTGTGAGACTCGAGTTAGTGCCGCCAATTGAGTTGTGCTAACTCCAGTGTAAGATACATCTTTTCTGTAACATCCAGGAGTCACACCACACCCAGGGATATTGGCAACATGAGTTCTACTCTCGCTGTCGTGACTGACGACTGTCACACCAACTCCTCCCTTGTCACTCATGTCACAATACACACTGAACGGAGTCACGCCTCCTTTGCCATCAGGGTCAATAATATAATTACCTGAAGAGCTTCCACTGTGGCCTGACTTTATTCTGCTACAGGACATGGGTTTGAGCACTTCAACAGTAGACGATGCCATTATTGTCCGTTGATAATTTTTCGCTACACATATGTAGGATCCAGCGTCATTTGTGGTCACCTTCTTGAGAAATAAAGTTCCGTTTGGGAAAATAACATGAGTACGAGAAAGATATTTGTTGGTTCTCTTCCAAGTTATTTCTAGGGCTCCCTGGGCTTTGCAATTTAGCATCAGGTTGCTGAACTCAGATGCGGTAGCCTTTAAAGGAGGTTTTAGGGTAAATTTGAGCCTGTCAATGACTGTTACCTGGGCGAGAGCGGAGTCCTTTCCAAGGAGATTTTTCACTGAACAAACGTAAGTCCCCCTATCTTCTTTCGTTACACGTAGTATAGTCATGTTCCCATCGATCACTGTTGTTTTACCTCTTGGCAAGTGACCTAATGCTTTTTGCCACGTCATCGTTGGCACCGGCAGACCGCTAGCTTTGCACACTAGGTTCACGTTTTCTCCTTCTTCAACGATAACAGAAGAGGGCTTTTTTGTGATCAAGGCAGCAACTGCAATTGGGAAACACGATAGAAAGAACGTTAACCTATAACTTTAAGTACCCACGAGGAATCTTCCTTAAGTTACCTTACAATAAGTGTAGTCTACTTTCATATTAGTGAATTAACAACTTTTTCCGTGCCATTTAATGCAGCCCGCGCACCTTCCAAGCATCCCCTGAGTCGGAGGCTGCGGTTATCTTTTGAGACTGGTTTTTACTAAGGAAAAGTCGGAGTTAGAGTGGTAACCAATTGCGAAAAGTGATGTTTAAGAAGAAACGCAGTTCTCAGATTCCTCTAGCCTAAGAATACAGACGTCCGGCTCCTCGCTCCTCCCCTTCACTAGCGGGGCGAGGAGCAAGGAGGGACGGGATTCCGCTAACGCTTCCGTTGATAATTACGAGTGAAAAAATACCAAATTGTCAAAATGGTGGAAATGAGCAGGGCTTCAATTTAAACTTCTAGGATGCCAGTGTTTGTGTTTTAATCCCAATAACATTGTTTTTGTAATATTGCGATTTGTTTATTGTTTCACTGCTTTCCGTGACTCCGATAAACTGGTTTTTAGTAGCACGTAATAAACGGAGACAAAAGTGCTCGGAGTTGAAAGTAGATGGAAATGACATTCCGATTTTTGCGATTGCAATTCCGTTGAGCTTGTCACTTCCGATCGATATCTATTACGATTCCGATTTTTGATTTACATTAGGTCATAAGTGACGACTTTGACTCCGTCGCCTCATAATGACAACTAGCTTGAACGTAAGCCTTTAGACTAAGGCTATAATCTCACAAGAATAAAGAATCTTGAACCACCAATTGCGTCTTAACTGCAACCCAACACCTAAAAACAACTTAAAATATGTACAACTGTGTACAAAATTAGGAAAAATATATTGTAAGCCGTAAAGTGTGCATGTAAACAACCTAACAAAGTGTACATCCAAGAGCTCATCCGAAGCTTGGGTAATATATTTTTGCTAGTAGTGTAACGGAAGCTGAGAGTCCACTAGGAAAATAATACTGGAAAGTAATAGAGGTTTTTAGCTTGTAAGTTTTTGAGACCACGTGATGGTACCCCAGAGAACTGTTTTTTTTTTCTTTTTAATTTTGTCTTAGGCACGTGCATCCACGTGCCTTTATATGCTAATCAAGGAAAAGACAAAAGGCAAATTCCCTGGAGAATATCACGTGGTCTGAATTGGGAAAACAAAACATACAAAGTAAAAAGGTGTATTACCTTGAACAGTTAATGTGGCCGATGAGGTCACGACTCCAAGAATATTTCTCGCCTTACACGTGTACACACCTCCGTCTTGTGACGTCACATCTCTTATCATCAGGCCATTACGTGTTTGCACGATTCTTTTGTCGGTGGTAAGACGCGAATTTTCTTTCAGCCACGTGACCTGAGGTATTGGATTTCCTTTAACCTCACACTGCAATGAGGCTATACCAGTTTCGTTTACCAGCATGGAAGACGGAGGTGACACAATAGAAGGAGCTGAGATGGATTCACCAGGATCGCCCCTAGGCCCTTGAGGGCCTTGATCGCCTCTAGGTCCAGGAGGCCCGTGATCTCCTTGAGGTCCACTTGGTCCTTGTGGTCCTTGTGGTCCCTGAGGCCCGACTGGTCCATGTTTGCCGGGGGGACCAGGCCTTCCTCGTCTTCCCCTGATACCCTTCGGGCAATGCGCCATGCAGGCCAGCTTGCTCATCGCCAGTTTAACCTCTCTTTTAATGTCACCCCGACTGATGATTTCGCTGACGTTTGTTTCCTCGTTTATTTTCAAGTTGCGTTTGTGACGAATTTGTATTTCTGCAACTGAGAAACAATTTATGTCACTTTCATGATCGTCCAGTGAAGGAATGTTTTAGTCGATTTAATTGCCCCTTCCATCTTACAGACAGAATTATGCCGTTGCATAATAGCGGCTTTACTGATACTGGCTAAAGAGAAACTTTATCTACTGTACTGCATGCGATATATTTTCATGAACTAAAAAGAAAAGAAAAGACACTTCTATCCGAGGAATACTAAAATTGCATCACCACAATTACGCTCTGTCAGGTTAGGTTAATTTCAGCCCTTCAGAAGAGAAAGGGAAATCTTCTCAACTTGTACGAAAACAGCCTGAACTGAAACCATACGCCAGAATGACGTTTCTGTTCAGTATTAAACAGTTACTGGATCTAACTATTGAGGGCGTTGTTGCGGAATGCAACAGTTAGAACTTCAAGCCCACGAGAATCAGCGAACCAGTAAAACAAAGCACTCACCTTTACCAGTGTCACTGCGCAGCGCGGAAGCAATCGGTTTATTGTTCACAGTACCGCGTGAGAGGATACTTTCTTCTGTCTGTTGAGTCAAGACTTGAAGCATTTTCCGATGAGCGTGAAGCTCGATCTCGACGTGGATCAATGCCACGAAACAGAGCGCAAAAGGGAAAACTATCGACGAAAACACAAGGGGGCTGTTGACCGGGGGCTTCTTCGTTTCCATTTCAACAACGCAGTCGAAAAATAAATGTAGTGATCAGAGTGCTTTAAGCAAGTAAAAGTACTTGCAACAAAACGGTTGAAGCAAACTCTTGTACGCAGCTACGATTGTCGTGTTTCAAAGGGATGTTTTAGCGGACGACGACTCACGATGGCGTTGGCTTTCAATCTAACCCTGTTTCCGCTTTTCAATACTGGCTGTATTCCAGGTCACTGAGAAGGCTTTCTTTGTAAACATGCTTTATTGTAAGACGACCCTTATGGACATTAAAAGAACATGCAGGTTACACGTACGTTATTCAAATAAAGTATTATGTCACATAACTACACCGAACTTCACTTTTTAACAACTTAAAAGTTGTTACTCTAAATATTCTAAAAATGGTTTTGCTCATATAAAGAGTGTACTAGTGTCTTCACAAAGATGCAAAAACTAGCAAAATGGCAAATCCGTCATTACGAAACGGAAGCTGCTTTTACGATGTTTCTATTACAGTATGTAATTAATAGTCCGTTGATTGAAAAATAAAACTACACAGATCGAACCCATTAGTGATGTTCTGAACTGATCCAATGTTCCAAAGAGGAGAACTGGCAAGATATTTTGTGTAAACCTGTGATTTAAAATGCATTTACCCCGTGGTTAAAGCTGAAAATGTTTAGTCCAATATTATTTCATGCCTCACCCATCGGATCCGTCCCAAAACTAAATAGCATGGAGAAAAATGTCCGTTGTGGTTAGACCAAAGTCTTTCTCCTTTGCAACTAATACCATGAAGATTTCATCTGCTTATTTAGCAAATAGGTTATCCCACCCTGATCATATGGAGCCACGAAAAAAAAGTTATTTTTGTATCATTTTTTTTTAATGCAAAACTCTTTAACAACTCTTATAGTGTACTCTGATTTTTTTGCGTGACCCCTCCTTTCTGTTTCTGTGGTCGACTTGGATCTTCATCTTTCTGAAATGCCTTAAAAAGAAAGTATAAATGGAAGATTAGTCTTTAGCTATTAGCAATCATTGAATGAGGTTGTTAAGTATGATGGAACAATTTTGCAGATCGAGGAGGATGTCATCCACCCCCGGACATTCACCTCGGCCGAGGTTGATGACGAGATCTGCATAATTCTTCTCATCATACTCAACAGCCTCATTTAATAATTGTTTAATATTATTCATTCAAAATATTTCTAAGTTTTTAAACAAGCTTACCTCTTCGTAGACTTTGTTCAAAACTTTGGCCTACTTCTCAGCACGGTTTCAGGATATAAACAGACGTTAATTCTGAGAAGTAGGCCAAAGTTTTGAAGAAAGTCTGCGAAGAGAAGTCGAAAAAAAGTCAATGACATCTATCACTCGTAAATTGACAGCTTTGCTGCGGAGCCTGGAAGCGAGATTGATGGTCTAATGATCAAGAAGCCTCGTTTTCAGGCTAATATACCATCAATCAAGCTCGTTTCCAAACAAATATACCTTCGTGCAATCGATGGTACATTGCTCACATCTTCCACATTTGATCAACGCCTGTTAGTTATGAATAATTAGTCGAGGGATTTAAGCCAATCAAAAACGGCGAAATATTTTAAATGAATAATGATGCCAAATATCATATATCAAATAACTTTTAATTTACAGCTTTAAAGACCTTGTTATGTCCGCAATTAGTGACAATGTCTTGGAACATGAACATGTACACTGTTTGTTTCCAACCGACTTGCTCTTCTCTCTCCCATGCCCCATGATCGATGGAACAGGAAGGAACAGGAAGCAGTGCTCCAAACTGAGACTTGTTCCAATTACTAAGCTTACAATCGATGAACTCTTTTATGACTATTACTACGAGAGAGATGATGTCACACGAAGAATTTTCTTTTTTGGGGTAGGAAGGCGGGGAGGGGGGAATTCTGCTCAAAGCCTTGCCCAATTTCTACTCCAGGTAAGTTATAAAAAAATGAAAGATTATAGTAAAGGCAATAGTAAAGTTCTTCTTTGTAAAGGTAAAACGTAGATGTTCGCATGATTGATTAATTATCTCTGTGGGGACATGAACAGCATTTGTTTTACCATGAATCAATAATTAAGACCTTCTGTTCAAGAAAACAAAGCACTAACCAAGTGCACACTCACACCTTCATCGAATTAAAAAAAATAAACAATGAAAGTTACAAAATTGTGAGATTTTGACAAGGTTTTGAGAAACGTTTTGTGGTGTCCTCAAGGGAGTTTGCTTTGTACTTTTTTGTTTTTTTCTGTTAATTTTTTTTTTAGCATTTTATCGCCGTGTTCGATTACCGGCTCAGTAGGTCGGTCCACGCTTTCATGTTATCATGGAGTTCAGGGGAAGGACGCGTTTTATTTAACTCCTAGACGTCCATTCAAGTATTCTGATGATGGTGAGTTTTAAATGAAACAACACATTATATGCGTTAGGATGTAAAAAAAGGTCTCACATTTTTACACATTTTGCAGTTTGGTATGGAAATTGTCCAGTAGACCACAAAATGCTGGGGGAAAAGGTTATGCAAAGACGCTGGAATTGAAGGTCAATTCATATGCCATAGCCTGCGTGCGACAACGTCCCGGGGACTGCAGAAAGGAATTCCAGATAAATTTGAAATGGAGCGTACCGAGCACAGAGATGTTAAGTCATTGCAAAACTGAATTACCAACGCGCAGATACTTCAAGTAAGATTGAGATTTCAAAGAAGTTCGAATGTCATTTTTTGTTTACAGCTTTGTTGGAAATTAAGTTTAAGTTGGTCTTTGGAGGCCGGAATTATGTCTTCAGAAACAACAGAGCTGAATTGCAATTAATTGCAACTAGAAGTTTTATGAGAATTAATTTCTATGATTTTTTTCGTTTTTGGGTTTGTTTGTTTAAAATCCCTCAGTCGAGGGATTTATACGTTTGAGGGATTTATACAGATATAAATTCCTAATTAAATAGGTAAGAATTCAATTCATCAACCCCGCTCTTTCCTGCTACGTTATCAAGCCCTTCCCGGACTTTCAGTTTGTTGAATATTCAAGAGGGTTGTACCTTGAATAAAGGTTGTTGAATAAAAAAAAAAGGGCGTGAATCACGAAATAGCTACACTTAAAAACCTTAGACAAAAATGATCTTTTATCTGTGAAGAACAACAACAATAACGGTCCAAAGTTGTCAAAAATAACAATTATATCAGGCTATTAAGAATACGAGGTATTCGTTGTATTGCATTCCTACTAGGGCGTAGCTGCCTGTTGCACATTTGTTTTTCCCTCTTAGCTCCCTGACAAGGTTTTCCACCATAACTTGGGGATGGTCGTGTACAGTTTCGAGAACGTTCCTGCGAACCAATTCCACAACTCTGATTACAGGAAGTCCAGTTACTCCATACTGACCACCCACCGTTCACTAAAGGAAGAAGGTAAAATCGACGAAATCAATCAATCCACAAGAACAAGTAGGAGAGGACCCAAATTAATCTTTCAGGTTCAAGGGATTTATTTAAAATTACTTGTAACGAATTTGAATTGTTATGAGTTAAAGGGTTTCCTTTTCTCTTCTTTCTTTGGGCATCCATGTACTGAATTTGAGTCACCCCTGGATTGAATCACACTATTAGTCCGCTTTAGTAAATGAGTGCGAGTGGAACGACTTCGATAGGCCACAAATTGGTCTGTGCTGAAAAATTAAGGTATTTGTTCATGCTTAGCGTGCGTATATCGAGTTATGGATGGACATCTCACCAGCCAGCTATATGTTGTAAAGAATTTGCTCATGCTTTTAGCTGTACGCATATATGGATTTATATATCCATGTATTTGGGAAGTTTGGAGAGCACTTAAGAAGCTAGAGATGCGCTCTAACGCATCTTTATCGTGCTCTCCAAACTTTCCGCGTGCATCCATAACTCGATATACGAACGCTAAGCATGAACAAATTCTTATTTTTGCGTCGAAGTGGTGCAAAACAACAAAAGCGGCAAAGAAATGTACAAAAAGTGTGATGCACGTGCGAAGTTGTTGTTTTGCTTATTAGACCTTAATTGTTTGTTTCACAATGCTTCAGGACTTGCAAAGCAGCTAACATTGCGCTAACGTATAGCAATATACCTTTCTCACAGCAAAATCCACTGAAACCTTGTTTGCAACTACACCAAATGTTTTGAACAGTCCCACCGTTACAGCACCGCTGATTGCAACTCCTGATCTGCACAGGAACGTCCAAACGATATGGATATGGGGAATTTCCAAAGCAATTGGTCAGTTTAAAAGCTTGGCGTTTCCGCCATTGCCTTGCCATTTTACCTCACAAAAAAGGTGCAATCAATCCACCGGGACCAGGAAGTCAAATGAATGTCCAATCTCTTAACGAACGAATTGGAGGAGTTTGTGTGCGTGGCTGCTTCTACCCTTACGAATCATCCAGCATCACAAGAAAAAGGGCAAGTATAATCAAATGCAGTCTTAGGGCCATTGATATCCTTTCAAAAGGTAGTGAGGTGATAAGCTAAAAGAGAGTGTAGCTGAATATGAAGGTCGAATATATGTACCGTTAGTTAAGCTTGATTTCAATTAAATTCGCTTATAAACTGAACTTCCCTCGTATTTCTCACTCACATCGCCTGACCGTATGCTCTAGTTTATCTATAATTGTTTTCTTTTTTGGCCTTTTTAGCTTTTTTAGGATGTTTTTTCATGTGAGATACAGAAACTGTGCTTAACTGTAATTTCCTACTTAATTTCCTTAAATGCTATATTGATATTGACCTTTTGCGATGTCCTCACTGAAAGTTACTATTTTTTAGAACTAAAAAATAAGGACTTGGAATTAACTGGGTGTTAAATTTATCAAGGCAAAACCGAAATTGAAGAAAAGGTACCACTAAGGCGAAAGTTTTCCAAGTGCTACTTCACTTATCTCTCAATT